AATAATAAATTTAACAAATAATAATAAATTTAACAAATAATAATAAATTTAACAAATAATAATAAATTTAACAAATAATAATAAATTTAACAAATAATAATAAATTTAACAAATAAAGGGATTTAACAAATCCAGGCAATTATAGCATTAAAAACTTTGTACTAATATAAATTTGAATAAGAAATATGTGACTAAGTATTAATATTAATTCTTAGTTACATATTACAGTCTGACTTACCTTAAGAGGCTAGAAAATAAATGTTACTACAGTTACATCTTGCAATTACTATTCTATTCCAGATTAAAGGGTTGACGAGCTGGTGGCGATCTAGAGTGATCCAAATTTTTTGAATTGCAATCCACAAACCCTTGACTTTGGCCATTCTAGCAGAGGCTGATGAGAGTTGGAATTCAAACAATAGTCTTTTCTTACCCTAGATTTAGATTTACACCACAATCACCACTTACCAATTGATCAGTTAGTATTCATATTTCAGAGAAAACCAGATTATACATAACTCAGTGGAATAACAAAATTAAGTTAACAATATATTTTTGAACTAGTGTATTATATTCTGTTAATGAATCAGTGAATTTCTTAGCAGTGCTAAATAACAAAATAAGAATCCTTAGAAAAAGTAAAGATATTATGACTCACTTCACTGTGCTGATAGGCTTGGGATCAAAATTTCCCTCAGCATCCACTGACGTCTGCTTTTCTAAAAATGAGGTAATTCGAGTGTCTAAATAATCTGGTGGCAAAGCCCCAGCTATTGCACTTAAACAAGGCAAGGCCATTCGGAAGAGCTCTGGATCATACTTCTGCAGGAGAGATAGGAACTGGTTGGAAAGTCCAATAAAAAAACATGCAAAGTGTTAGTTAAGGTTAAAGAAAAAAGCCCTGTAGAAACAGCATTAGTAGATGCTGATAGTAAATGGAGAAGCATGTTTTATAAAAAGAAAGAAAAATAAGAATATGTGTGTGTGTGTGTTTATGTATGTATGTATCTCTCTGTGTTACAATAGGCTGAATTGAACAATACCTCTTCTGATGCAATCTACTGCAGGTGAGTGAATCATGACTGTGTTAGCTTTTTCCTATCAGTCTAAGGTACTTTTCTGACCGCATGTGTAGTTACACAATATTGTTTTTCCATTTCTCATGAAAGGTCAAAATAAGGATAGTAGAAAATTGTATGTTTGCATAGGAGAAGCATCTGATCTAACAATGCCCAGCATGTATATCTGACATATGGTAGTAGAGGAAAAGTGCTATTATCTAACTTCTTATTAATCACTAAATTCTCATAGATTGTGAATGTGATATGAACAGGACAATTTTTTCTAGGGGTATTTGTGCTTATATTGGTGTATGTGTATTCAAGCAATGCCTTTTAATTAGAAATTTTATGTTTACCTTATGAGAGAGGGAATCAAATATTCCCCAGAAAAGTTTTTCAGTCAAATGTAATTCTTCTTCAGCTGCTGTTCCATAATTGCCCCATCCTGAAGACAAGCAATAATATTTCCAGCATTGCTCATAGTGATTTGTTAAAAGCTGTAAACAGCATAAAAATACATTTTAAAATATATTAAAACAAACTGAAAATCAATATGTTGGTATGATATAATGCAGATTATGACCTTTTATTCTTTATGTAACAAGCCTAGTATTAGTTTTAATGTATATTTGGAAAAAAGTATTAAGTATTAATACTTTTTACCAAATATACATTGAAAAATATTTGGAATATTGCCTCTTAGTGTACTTTCTAAAACATAAAGAAGGGTAATACTTGGATTTATATTTACTATGGATATCAACACTTTCTGGATAATAATGTAACCTAACTGTTACTATCAGTCAAAAAAAGAGATTTTATTGGCAAATCAGATATCTTCTTGTTCCTTATATGCATCTAACATTTAATCCACCGAGACAAGGAAAGCAATGGAAGTGAACAAATGAATTAAGCTTTTTCCATTGTTCATACATTCAAAATTTGCCTCAATTAAATGGGTCACATCTTGCAAAAGATATTTTTGCTCTTGCAGATAATACATATGCTCATCTCAGACGAGACACCCAACCTTTAATCAACATCATCCCTACTGCAGCTATTTATCTCGTGGTTCATGCTCTATGGTTCAGAAGAATCTCCTAATCTTTCAAATAATGCAAAGCCCATTTGCAAAATAATAGCAAAATATATGAATTTTGAAAGGGAAAAACTGAATAAATTACATAGCAATGCTGTTGAAGTAGTTGAACTATGTCTATATCTGACTAAATGACTCTTTAATGTTTGGTTTCTTCTATGGAAATCAGTCGACATTGGTCATATACAGCCATGTGATCCAGATTCAACAAAACCAACTACATAATAATATTCAAAGTGATAACATTTATATTAAAATAAATCTTTCAGAACCACATGCACACCCATTTCCATAATTCCTATTAGGAAAAATCAAGCAAGCGATTAGCCTACAAAAGACTGCTGAATGGTTAACAGCCTCCTGGTTGATAGTAATGTGAAATAGTCCAGACCTCCAGTCGGGTTATTTCATAATAATAGGATAGCCATTGGTCTTTTCTGGGTTCCAACTAAAATAATTTCAGGTTGTGATTAGGGACTCTAAGGCATTTTACCCTGGATTAAATACACAGAAAGAGAGATTCAAATGGTTAAGAGATGGTTTGAAAGTAGCTGGTAGCCAAGTTGTATAGGTTTAAAACCAGCACTTTGAACTCTATCTGGAACTCTGCTAAAAAACAATCCAGGACTCACAAAACTAGTGTCACATGCCTGAACGGACTCTCAGCTGTTAGACAGTGACCTAATACCTTTTGCACTGATTGCAGCTTCCAAGTAGTTTTCAAATTTAGCCCCAAATAAAGTACAGTACAGTAGTTTGAGGTTATCAAGACGTGTGTTACTATTGTCAAGGAATCCTGTTTCAAAAACAGACACAAGGGAAGCATCAGCCAAAGCTGGGCAAAGGTTTTGGCCACAGCCTTCACCTGATGGACAAGCAATAGCTGTGAGCCCAAGAAACCTCCCAGTTACACATTTGCTACTTCAGAGAGTGTGTGATCCTTTACAGAGTTAAAGAAAGAGAAGATCTTGTGACAGATGATTTCTAACTCCTTTCTTTGGTTTTACTGAGAGCTGCATTGTTTACAGCTTATAGTTGCTTTCCTAACTAATATAAGGGCTGATGAGGCAGGAAATAATGATTCTTAGCCCAGACCAAACCATTATATAAGAGCTACTGCTCTTATAGCACAGTGGTTAGAATGCAATACTACAGGCTGATTTTGATGACTACCAACTGCCAGCAGTTCAATTCTCACCAGTTCAAGGCTGACTCAGTCTTCCATCCTTCCAAGGTCAGTAAAATGAGGACCCAGATTGTTGGGCTCAATAGGCTGACTCTGTAAACTGCTTCGAGAGGGTTGTAAAGCACTGCGAAGCAGTATATAAGTAAATGCTTTTGCTATTGCTAACTAGATTCTTGGTGCTCAAGGCTGAAAAAAGGACCAAAAACCCACTTATTCAAGAAGGTGGGATGAAAATACTTAGAATTAAAACCTTGGAATGTTTGTGTAAATAAGGGAAAGAGAGAGAGAGAGAGAAACTGATTGTTAAGTTCTGAAATAGAGCTTCTTCATATTGATTTCTTCATCTAAATAAAAAGAACTTTTCTAGTAGTATTGAACTTGTGATGATTCTGATGTGCTCCACTTTCTGAATATGATATTTAATTTGTAGAGAAAAGAGATTAATAAACATTCCGGGACAGAAAGTGAATTGAACTGGAATGGATTGGCAGAGCTAACATTACTTCAGGAGATGGGAAATGGGGAAGAGCAGGAAAAAGGCACTCACAGAACTCAAATATTTAATGCCACAGCAGAAATAGAAATACTGACCTTTAATGACATTTTACAATATTCATTAAGTAAAGGTACATCAAAAACTAATCGCCGTAGAAGTTGTTGTAGCATCGAAGGCCGTAAGTGGCTATAATTTGAAAAAGAAGTTCACAGTAATTTCAATCTTTTTAATATACAAAACATTTACTGGATCAGCTGAAATGCAGGACATTTAATACAAATACTTGATTAAAAAAGATGTCTAAAAGATTCATTTCATCAAAAAGGCAGAATTCATAGAAAACTTTATTAGACTATATATAATAAGCAAATGTCTCTTTTTAGATCTTTACAGTTTTATTAAGCAAGCAAAAAGTGATGACTGGTCTCGTAACAGTGATTTCACCATATCCTTTGCCCAGACTTCCTCTGGCCCGTAAAGCTGAGAATTTTCTTAAAATAATAAATAATGTGGCTCCTAATTACAAAAAAGGATGCTAATCTTTTATATTCTACAATAACTAAGATAATTTAGTATTTATAAGCTAAAATATTGTTGAATAATGATATTATAGTAAAGTATGAAATATCAGGAATTTAGATCTGAAATCACATCTATTTTCAAAATCATTGTTTTATTAAAACACGCTTAATTAACTGATATTGCTCTTAAATCAAATACATAGAAAGAATGGATATGAAAAGTGGAGAAAAACTATTGCTTTTTTCACCCCAAAGTGCACCTTCTACATTTAATAGATTTTTTAAAGGTTACTTTAAATACTTCTTTATTTGGGGAATGAACATGTGTTATTTAAATCTAACTTGGTTCATACTCTGTCATGAAGATAGACGAAGTGAATTAAACCTGCCTTGTTCCCTTATACTGGCAGTCCTTGACTTATGACCATAATTGAGCCCAAACTTTCTGTTGTTAAGTGACACATTTGTTAAGTGAATTTTGCCCCATTTTGCAACTTTTCTTGCCTCAGTTGTTAAGTGAATCACTGCAGTGATTAAGTTAGTAACCTGGTTTTTAAGTGAGCCTGTCTTCCCCATTGACTTTGCTTGTCAGGAGGTCACAAAAGGAGATCAATACAATACAATAGCAGAGTTGGAAGGGACCTTGGAGGTCTTCTAGTCCAACCCCCTGCCTAGGCAGGAAACCCTATACATATATGATCATATGATCTTGGGACACAGCAATGGTCATAAAGTATGAGCCAGTTGCCAAGCATTTGAATTTTGATCAGATGACCCCAGGTTGCAACGATCATAAGTGTAAAAAATGGTCATGAGTCACTTTTTTCAGTGCTGCTGCAACTTTGAATGGTCACTAAGTCGAGGTCTACCTGCATATACCCCTTCTCTTGTAATCTCTTCATTGGCACAAATTCTAAGTTTCTGTGTAGGTTACTCCTTTTCCTTCCCAATGAGTGTTGTACAAATTATATTAGAAATATTATTTCTGCAAGAAATACCAGTAGATTGTATGTAAATACTTACTGACAGACAGCAAGCAAGCATTCTTCAATTGTGTCTCTTTGTGCTTTTGTAAGAGAGCGACCTTTGGACAGGCGATATATTGTATGAAGAGTGGAATCAATCAGAGAGATGTAATGCTCAGATCCCAAAAAGAGAGAAGCACACCGCGTGAGTAATGGGAACACAGCTGTGCAAATATATCTATTTAGAGCAAGAGCTGTCTCCGTGGTACTTAGAGAAATCTGCATAGAAGATACACATTAATATGGTTACTGCCTGATTAATATATATATTCTATTTTATTATTGAATACTCTGAACATAATTCTTCTCAGAGGACTGCACAGTAATTTAGGACCTTTAGGCCAGATATATGAATATATGTTGATGAAAGCTCTTGCCTCTCTTATTTTTATAGTTTGTAAAAAGAACAGATGTCAATGAACTTCCAAAATATACTACAGTGAAAGGGCTGTTGGATTGATATAGGAGACAGCATCATCAAAGCTAACATGAGTACTTTTTACCAGTCTTTCCTTTCCTCCTGAAAGAGATTTTCTTACAGTCTGAAATATTTTAGGTATCCATAACACTGTCAAGAATATTGGAAAGCTGCTTAACATCCATTTTTTTTTCTTTTTTTATATTCTTTTTATATTTGCTTTTTTCATTGAGGTTCTTTTTTTTTATTCTCTGTATTTTCCCTTATGGTTTTTACTTTTATATGTATTACAACATGCAAATACTCAATCTATAAGTAATACATTCATTGAGCAGTCTACTGTAGCTCAAAACCAAAGAATTACTCAATTTCTTCCTTCATTCTTTTCTTTCATCCTGCATTTAATCTTTAGTGTATCAAATGAGTATCTATCCATCATCTATCTGTCTGTCTGTCTGTCTGTCTGTCTATCTATCTATCTATCTATCTATCTATCTATCTATCTATCTATCTATCTATCTATCTATCTATCTATNATCTATCTATCATCTGTATATGATACGTCCTTCCAATCATGTCTGATTCTGAGCATCACATAGATATACCAGCAGTGTAATATAATAAAATATAATACCATGGAATATAAATGTAATACCATAGTAAAATTATAACATAATAGGTTACATCCTGCAGGTTATAAACATCCATTATGTTCCTGGATTAGGTCCTGGGAGCTTAGTCTGGGCCAGGGGTGAAATGCTACCGGTTTGAACCAGTTCACCCAACCGATAGTAAAAATGCTACTCATTCGTCCGAATTGGTAGTAAAAAAAATGCTACTAGTTCAGGCAAACTGTTTTTTCTGATGATCAACTGTGACATGCAATTTATATTAGCTAGAAAGCAGAATTTCCTGCTTTCTAGCTAATCAAAATCGTGTGGCACAGCGGATTTCTCTTTCCCTCATTGTTCGCTTATCTTTGCAGGAGAGGTCTGCGCATGCGCAGAAGGTCCTGTGCATGTGTGAATGCGCACACACTCATATTGCTACTGAGCCGGTAGCAAAGGTAAGTGGAATTCAACTCTGGTATGGGCACATAAAATGTTTTAAAATAATTTTGCATTGTTATTACCTATATCAGCCATTTAAATGTGCAAATTATGGTTTGAGGGTTGATATACTGTGGTTTACTTTTGTTAATTTATTTTATTTATTAAATTTATATGTTGCCCATCTCGCTGATCAGATGACTGGGCAGCTTACAGGGAGAAAAAGATAAATGTAAAAACAATTAAAATTAAGAAGAGTTACATAAAAATCTGAAACCAAGGGGACAGACAGCACAAGGGTGAGTTGTTACTTTTATCCTCTCAATCACCTCCAGCAGAGTGTGTCTCCTTTAGGGTCCCAAGCCAACCAGCAATACTAGATTTTAATGCCCTTCCAGAAGACCAAAAGGACGGGAACAATTCTCACCTCTGGTAGCTGAATGTTCCCTAGAATGGGGGCTACAGAAGAAAAGTTTCTTCTCCTTGATACTGTCAGCCAGAATTCCTTAACCAATGGGGTCCGCAGGAAGCCTCTTCTGCTGGAGCAAGTGGGATGGACTAGTTTTACTGGGACAAGATAACTCCTCAGATACCCTAGACCTCCCTTAACGCCAGCTAAGGAAGATAAAGTCATTTGCCCAAACCAGGTTTTTAATTGTTTTCATGTGCTGTTCACCCTCCCAGAGGCACTATATGAGAAATTAAAATTAAAATGAAATTTTGGAAAAAGTGCAGAGAAGAGCAACTAAGACGATTAAAGGCCTGGAGACTAAAAACATATGAAGAATGGTTGCAGGATTTGGGTTTGGCTAGTCTAGAGAAAAAAAAGGATTGGGGAGACATGGTAGCAGTATTTTCCAAAGCACCAGAGAGCAGGACAAGAAACAATGGATGGAAACTAATCAAGAAGAGAAACGACCTGGTATTGAGAAGAAGCTTCCTAACAGTGAGGACAATTAACCAGGTTTGCCGTCAGAAATTGTGGGTGCTTCATCACTGGACGATTTTAAGAAGGAACAGGAGAGTCACTTGTCTGAAATGGTATAAAGGGTCCCTGTTCTGATTGGATTAAATCAAATCAGTAAATGAACCCTAATACCAACCATTTCAGGAAAGACTAACGTAATAAATATTTCATTATCTGCACCATACTTTTTTAGCATGATTATGCAGAGAAAGAACATAGGAAGCCCCCAGATTCAAGTACAATGAGTTTTGAAGCCTGATAATTTCAGTGCATTGTGTTTTAGCTAGGGCCACAATTTTTATAGTTACTGATTTTATAGCTGTTATGGGGCTTTTATTTTATTCTTAAATCACGAATCATTTATTACAGCTAATATGTATGACAAAAGATAGGCAGATGGATAGATATGCAGCCTATCACCTGTCCTATCATCACTTACATATTTACATAGGCCTGAGTAAGACCTTTAATGAGGCTGTTCTCAGTGGTGGAGTTTGATTTCCATGTTAACTATCTTCTTTATCATTGTTTATTAATGCTTTGTTTCATTAATGTTCTGGTAAGCCTTGAGTAGTTTATAATAAAAGGCAGTTCATAGTTTATTTAAATGTATAAACTGCTGATAAATGTACATGCAAACTCTTAATATTACAACACTCTAATTGCAGAAAATAAATTACAGTGCTTAGCTAAATTCCAGTACTACCAAATCTCCTTAATACAGTTAGAGAATAATAGCAAACAGTACTCAGCTGTATCCAATGAAGCACATGCCCTTAAATCTGGTAAAAATCCAACTTCTAGAAGGTGAAGGAGGAAGGTTTGGTCCTTTATACCATAGACACGATCTAGAAAAAGCACCATGGGTGCTTTGTGGTCAGGACAGAAAGTTGCAGACATATTTGGCTCAGTAACTGTTCCATCTGCAAAACAAAAAAAAGTCATTATCTCAGTACAAATATTGCTCTACATTTACTCAATTTAGCTGTATACAGCTTCTGTCCACAAACAAGTGAAAATGCAATGCTGGTCTGATATTCACTTATTTAAGGCTGTCATTATTTCAATATTCACTTACTTTGAGTTTAGAGCAGGGTTGTCAAACTCAAGATCCACAGGCTGGATCTGGCCCATGGGGTGCTTAGATCTGGCATGTGGGACTGGCCTGGAAACAGCAAAGGACTGCCCACGGTGCTTCTGCCAGCGAAAACGGAGCTTGGGAGGGCCCAAGCTTCATTTTCTCTGGTAGAAGGCCGCAGGAGGCTGTCACGGCTGAAAATGGGGTGCGGGGTGCCATGCACAAAGGAAGAAGGAAGGAGAAGGAAGAAGGAAAAGAAAAGAAGAAAAGGAAGGAAGGAAGGAAGGAAGGAAGGAAGGAAGGAAGGAAGGCAGGCAGGCAGGCAGGAAGGAAGGAAGGAAGGAAGGAAGGAAGGAAGGAAGGAAGGAAGGAAAGGTTAGGGTTCTAATGAGAGTAAGGAAGGGTCTCAGAAGTCCTGTCTTAGCACTTGGCCACCATAGGTGCCCCTGACACATCGAGCTGGCCACGCTTACAATGGCCACACCCAGTGCCAGCCCTCCGAAGGTCAAATCCAACCCTGATGCAGCCCTCAATGAAATCGAGTTTGACACCCTTGGTTTAGGGAAAGTAGAAAGACCAAAATACAGTTAGGACATAAATGTAACAAAATGTTGCAGTCTTGAGTTATCCAGTTCAGGAGTCAAATCTATTATTCTACACTTTTATCATCTTGGTTTTGTTGCGTGCAGTTTTGTTTGTTTTTCTCCTTTTACAGGCTCTAATTTTATATATATATATATTTGGCAGACCTTGCAATTTCCTCTATTCTTCTGATATCTTTTGTATGATGTGCTATTTTCAACTGCATAAATAATAGCTCTTCCACCTTGAAAAGCTGTTATTACTTTATGATATAAAAAGCAGAAATCTCTTTTTTGTTGTGTATGAACTTGTGTGAAAAACAGGAAGACAAGTCAAGGATTTTTCAGATGGTGATCTGTTAGTTCCTATGGATGAATACACTGGCAACATTCTGCATCACCCAGAGCCCCTGTCTAAGGGAGAAAGGCAGTTTTAAAAGATGAAAATAAATAAAAAAATAAAAAAATCAGAATTCCAAATCCCAACACAGAAAACAGATATTCAGGATTAAAGTAAACTGGTTTATCTATTGGTTGGTGCAGCCACCAATAAATAGAATAGAATAGAATAGAAAAGAATAGAATAGAATAGAATAGAATAGAATTCTTTATTGACCAAGTGTGATTGGACACACACGGAATTTGTCTTTGGTGCATAGGCTCTCAGTGTACATAAAAGAAAAGATACATTCATCACAAATCATAAGGCACAACACTTAATGATAGTCATAGAGTACAAATAAGCAATCAAATCATAGAGCCGAGGTGGCGCAGTGGTTAAATGCAGCACTGCAGGCTACTTCAGCTGACTGCTAGATCAGCAGTTCAGCGGTTCAAATCTCACCGGCTCAGGGTTGACTCAGCCTTCCATCCTTCCGAGGTGGATAAAATGAGGACCCAGATTGTTGTTGGGGGCAATATGCTGACTCTGTAAACCGCTTAGAGAGGGCTGAAAGCCCTATGAAGCGGTATATAAGTCTACTGCTATACTAAGAAACAATCAATATAAATCGTAAGGATACAAGCAACAAAATTACAGTCGTACAGTTATAAGGAGGAGATGCGTCATAGGAACGATGAGAAGATTAATAGTAATAGCAATGCAGACTTAGTAAATTCACCAAAGTACAATTTTGCTCCATTGCACTATGGCAGTGGTGGGTTCTGGATCCCGTTGCAACTGGTACGGTATAACAGGGATCGTGCAGCACGCACATGTGTACTTAGCAGCTGTTTGGCGGAGCATCGTGCAGGCGCCATACGCTCCGTGCATGGAAGCCCCAAAATTTCAAATACCGGTAAGGAGTGCAGGCAGGTGGGTAGGTCCTCCAGACCACCATACTGGAATGGTACCTGGTGTTCCCGGCAGGCACTGGTATGCCCGTACCGGGGTGTACTGGTCGTAACCCACCACTGTACTATGGCTTCTAAATGTTCTACAGAGTTTGTTTTACATCTTTACAATTCCAAGAAGTGAGGGTAAAAATCATGATGGGAATAAGTTAGAATAAACTTTTGAAATGCATTCCAACCAGATATTGCTGAAGTGCAAACACATGGACACAAAAGTCCTGGGAAACATTTTTACCAGAAAATTCGAGACAAATGCATTTTATAGGATCTATATCAATTATCTTCCCCAGGACACCAAAATGCCTCTCCAAACTGCTGTTCCAAGTGTCAAGATGTCACATTGTCTTGTAGATTTGGTATAGTCTATTAAATAACTTCAATATACAGAAGATATTTTTTTTGCTATGAAATAGAGTGTTTGATCATATAATATATAAAGGACAATAATGTATTCAATGTATAAGAATGGGATGATTTGAATCCTATGTATAATTGTAAGTATTGATGATGTTATATTGGAAAGATTTTTATATGTTAAATGGACTAATGATGACATAATGAATAATTGATACATATATGAATTGAAATGTTCAACAACTACTTGGATTAGCAATGGGAAACTATTTCTGGAGTTGAATAGCCCACACTATAAGTATTGTATATTCTATGGATGATTAATATTAGCGGTAACTTGAACACATAATGCTCAATGATAATGATGTATTTAGTTATGTTTGATGGATGCACAAAAGTTTGTAAACAAACGACATGCTTGATGAAATTTAGGAAAGTTTTTTATAAGTGTTGTTTTGTTTAGATAGCCTACTGAGATTATTGTTAAAGTGCAACACTCCTATGAATGATTCTCACACTTCTATAAAACATAATCTGTCATCTATTACCATTTACACTTAGCTGACTTTTTAAAATTAATAACCGCTGTCTCCCCAAAGAAGATCTCTACAGAACTGATAGCTAAAACTGAAAAGACTAAGAGGCAAAGTTGCTATGGATGAATAGGCAGCAACATAAATTCAACAAACAAACAAATAAATAAATAAAGTCTAGAATGTTCCAAATATAGTTCTACATAGACCATGGCTTGGGATATAAAACAATTACATAATCAAGCTGTTTATGTAAAATAAATGTTTACTTTATTATATAATTTATGTAGCCAGCTGGTTAAATACAATTTAAATTCACTTTGTAATGTTTTATGGTTTCATGGCTTCAAAATCTAAGCGTCTGGTTTGGACAAAACTCGGCAACACTTTTTCATGCAGCTGTTGACAAAAATAGGATTGCCAACGTGATCGCCAACGTCCAATGATGAATATGGCACAAGAAGAAGAATGTTTTATATCCTTATTCATTTCAAATTATTGGCATCCCAAAGGTGCTCTTTTCAAGAGACAACTAGACTTTCTGATTTTTCTTTGAAGATGTTTCACTTCTAATCCAAGAAGCTTCTTCAGCTCTGACTGGATGATGTGGATTGGAAGGAAGGAATGGTGGTGAAATAGAAGAATCCTTCCATTCTCCACCATCAAGTCAGAGCTGAAGAAGCTTCTTGAATGAGAAGTGAAACGTCTTCAAAGAAAAAACAGAAAGTCTAATTGCCTTTTGAAAAAAGCATCTTTGGGACAACCATGACCTGGATGACTGAGAATCTCCATAGACAAAATTGTTGGCACATAATTCTAATATGATAAAATTAATAAAGGAGACTTTATGAACGAGATCAAACAAAGCAATCTGCCACTTCGATTTTCCATCCCAACTCGAGTTAGAATGGTTTTCATAGTTACCTTTGTTTATTGTTGGTAGTTTTAAAGGAATACTTATAATCCCAACTAAATCTTCTGTTGGCACAAGGGAACGCAAAATTGACCGTATTCTAATAGCTTCACCTTTCCCAGTTTGGATAAGCTGTAAAAGAATGTGATATTATTTTTATTATCTTCACAAAAATGTTTTCTTATTTTTTACAAATATTCAAGAACACTAAGAGATAAAAATATTCTATAAAAATTATTTACCTAACAGCAATTTATTTTTTCCCCTCTAATGATTTCCCCCAGATTAAAATGTTTTAGATTTCCTGAGAATATGGCAACAAAGGCAGATTTTTCTACTTTAACATCCATTTTGGGAAGATCCACTTAAATGTAATTTAACTTTTCTTTTGTATAAATAAAGTAGAGCGTCTCTTCATTCTCACTCTGATTTCCACTGAATTAAGATCTCTTTCCTAAATATAGGGACTTATTTTAATAGTGATTTTGAAAGAATACTTCTGTGGCTTAAAATTACTGCTATATACTGATATATGCAATAAAGAACAATAGGAACAATTGGAATTTTTTGATTGGGGGGGTGGTTGACTGGAGTAAAATGAGAGAGGAAAAAACATAATTGTAGCCTTCCATAATTACTTTATTATAATTCAGAATGTTTCCCACTATCAGCCTTGTACCTGGGGTTAGTAAGTGTTAGATCGGTGCGCAATGAAAAGAAGCTAGACTCTGGATACTTTCAGAACCTTTTATTTCTCTAGCTGCTGCATTATGAACTGCCAGCAGGCTGCTGGAGCTCTCTATTTAAGGAGCTCCAGCAGATCAGCCAGCCGCTGACAGCGCTTTAAATTTCTAGCCGCTTGGCGAACCAATCAGCGGTGAACATGCAAATCTGTGCGATGTACGTCCGTAGGTAACAGTAAGAATATATGAACTAAGCCGTGTGTTTCCTATTCTTTATTGAGATCATATATGTACTAAATGAAGAAGGAACTAGTGTGGAGTAACATTAACTCCTGAAGGAAACAAATAAGTAAATATATAAAAGCTCCTTGTGCAGCAAATTCCCCTATCTAACAGATCTTTGCTAGAATAGCTTCCATTCAACCCTAAACCTAAGCACCTTGTTTTTTATTTAGTAAATGAAGACAGCTTAATGGTCACATCAACAAGATTTAAATGTTTCTGTTCTGATGAAGAAACTCAGAACTTTTCCCACGTATTATATCCATTCCCTTACCAGTCAAGAGAGAATGGTGCATTTTCTTGGAATGAAGTGGAGTTATTTTTCCTTATACCTTATTCCTTCTAATTCCCAATTCTTTCCATTACTGCATCTTAATTTGATAGAATTTATTTCTTCTTCTAACAAAATTATAAATTTATAATATTTATGGAATACAAATGATCCACCACAGAAGGTGGGCCTGAACTGAAATAATTCATGTGTTGATAATTTAGAAAATTCATGTGTTAAATTTCCTGTTCCTAAAGAAATAACAAGGCTACTTACATGGAGTTCTGGTGCACAGCGGCCAAGCAAATCTATGAGAGCTGAATAGAAAGACATTATTGCATTGCCCATGTGGACTATTTCTTCCTCTTCCTCATCATCTTCTAGACTAGTAAAAAGAAACCATGTAGCCACAAATAAATATTGAGGTTATTTAGAAAATTAAAAAGTACTGCTATGTTTTTAAGCAATTTATCTTCTTTAATGTAAGCAGTTCAATTACCTTTCTACCTTATATTGTATATTTTTCATAGGTTTTTGTAATGTTAAACTGAACAGCAAATTGTTACAAATACAAAATGTTAAACTAAAATTGATTCTATTTCTTTAGAACTTACATAGAGTAAGTAAATAGAACACATTCCAAATGAAATTGCTGCTATGTTTCCCTATAGTAGTTCATATACTGGTAAATTCTTAGGAGGAATTAATTTAGTAGTCTGGCATAGATGTATTTTTTCTAAAAGTAATCAAACCTTACGTATTGCATTCTCAATAGCCTTTAAAAGGAAGAGGGAGAGAAAGAACGAAAATATTGTGGAAATAAGTGATTTACAGTCAGTGCTATGTTTTAATTTTTCTCTTTTCATTATAAGTTTACTCCAAATCATCTTTGCTCTCCCAGCTGCTTTTCCCAATTAATTTACATAATTATAATACATGTTTCAGATATTATAACAGTACCAGGTAAAGATAATTTGTGTGGGGAAGTAGCAGGTGTAAAAGAATAGAATGTGCTCTAATTGATTTTCATACTAATATTCTTTCTCTAAGCAACTTTTAGATTTTTGTAAAACCAGTTTAATAATGCTTAGTTAGATTACAAAGAGAATCTTTTTCAATAATAGAAAAAGGGAAAATGTCAGCTTTCTCTCTCTGTTGGATGAACCAAAATGAGAGAGACCGTAGAATAGAGAAACAGAGAGCTTTAAGTCCTTTTAACCCTTATAGATATTTCATTGCATTACTTGTCTCATATAGGAGATAAAAATCTACATAAAATTTTATGTAGTTTGACATCGTTATAATTGCAGTAATTCAAATATTACTTCCGTCATATTTTTAATTATTCTCACATAGCAGGCAACTAACTAAAGCAGTGTAATGATAAGAAAAGGGTGCTTACCCATTGCAAAGATACAAAAATGGCAAAAAAGTGGCAAAAAGAAAGCAAAGATAATACCAGCTCCACATTAATAGGTGCCATGGGTACAATCCCAAAACACCTGGAGCACCACATGAAAACTATTGGCATTGAAAAAATTATCCTAGGTCAGTTGCAGAACGCAGCCTTACTTGGAACAGTTTACATCCTGCAACAGTAGCTCTAACATCATCCAACAATGTCTGCCTATCTCGGGTCCTTGAGTTGTACTCAACATGTAGATTTAAAATGCCAAATTCAGTCTAATATGATGGACAGTTCGAGCAACCCTAACTGAAAATGCATATGTACTATTTTATACATACCTAATGAATTTTGAATTTGAATTTGAATTTGAATAGATTTGTATGCCGCCCAATCCCGAAGGACTCCGGGTGGCTTACATAAAAACAGTTTAAAAAACAGAATACTAAAAAAGTTAAAAATACAAAACAGAGCGAGTTAAAAAAGGACACAACATACACTCGGTATTAATGGGGCTGAAGCTCAATCAGAGATCAGCAGCCCCAGGCCTGCCGGAACAGCCAGGTCTTAACAGACTTTTGGAAGGCCGAGAGAGTAGGGAGGGTCCGGATCTCAGGGGGTAGATCGTTCCATAGGGTCGGGGCAGCTACAGAGAAGGCCCTCCCCCGAGGAGCCACCAGACGACATTGTGCTTTTCATTACTTTCTGGCTTTTGAAAAAACCTTAAATTTTAATCTTAAATTTTATAGATAATTCAAGATATGCTATGAATAAAGCTGAACGAACTAGAACCAAAATAAATTAGCACAATTATGGCTGCAGTTCTATTTGTCAAATTTTTATCTCAACAATACAGTCAGCTACATAAGGCAAACGAGTGGATGAAAACACTGAAGAAGTTCATTCTGACTTCATCTCGATATTGCCAGAATTACTGCTACACCAGATTTTTATATTCTGAATTACAAAAAAAATAAAATACAACGATGAGTAGAAAGACATATGTTGAGCATGAAAGCTGCCAAATCAAGCTCTTGCCACGGCTGGGAAACAGTCCTGTTTGAAATCCTATGGAGCAGCTGGCACTGATAAGGCACTTCTGGCATTTCTATTTAAGATTACTCTTTATCCTAGTTTGTTAGCCTTCTGATAACATGCACTTACAATTTTCTCTTACAACCCTGAGAAGTAAGATCTAGAGCTGGGTTCGCAGAAATTTTAATTGCTTCTTGCATCGCGGCTAACAGGCCGTTTCCGCCTTCTCCTCTCAGAGCAGGGCCAAAACACTCTGGACGTCGAATAAGAAGCTTAACAAGAACACAAGCATTTTCTTCAACACTTTCACCTGGAAACCCACAAAACACAGAACACAGTTATCCTGACAAAATATAAACTCAAATAAAAAAGATCCAGGTGAAAATTAGATCTTGGTAATCTTTGCAGTGTCTTCAAAGTTTTGCCCATAAAACTGCATTATTAAACTCTGAGATCTTTGCATGTGTTTTATTTTATGGAAGGAGAAAGAACTTGGGTTTTCTAAAAAGGAACTGAAGCGGAAGAATATCGAAAAACATGGAATACGGTAAGAGGGTTTTTTTTAATTCTAACAATGTGTAAATTGTGAATTGGAAACAGTATCAAGCATCCCACGGGCCTCTGAGAAAGCAAAGTAAATTGCAGCCCATCAAGTTAAAATTAACACAAAGAGGATCTTGTGCTGAAATAGTATGTGCAATAGCAGAATACTGATATCCTTATCCTGGAGATGGGAATGGTACAGGGAGGTTGTGGGGACCCATGTAGGACTCTCCCCACAGGAGTCAGAGGTTCAGTTTGCCAGACCATTAGGCACCTGTGTGCTTGCAAACAGACTGCACCATTACAATCCAGAGGCCCCTGTAATCATTTTACACCCATCTAATCTTTATATAATTACTATCTGCATTTAAATCCTCTCTTATCTAATTGGCCAAACATTATTCTTCTGTGCCATATGTATATTTATATACATGGTGCAATGAAATGGATTCTAATTTGTACAAGTATATGCTATATAGAGTAGATTATTATCTAGAGCAGGGGTGTCAAACTCAAAGTCCACAGCCTCCAACCAGCCCATAGGATGCTTAGATCTGGGCTGCAGGGCTGCTCTAGAAACAGTGAAGAACCAGCCCACAGTGCCTCTGCCAGCGAAAACAGAACTCGGGAGAGCCACACACAGCCCTCATGGGCTCTGCAGGAGGCCGTCGTAGCTGGAAACAGAGCTCAGGAGGGCCATTAGTGGCCTTCACAGGCTCCACTTTCACTGGCAGAGAGTTGCTGGAGGCCATTGCAGCTGGAAATGGAGATTGGGAGCCCATTTTCACTGGCAGAGCGCTCAGGCCACCTCAGGCGCACGCAACACAGGTGGTGTCAAACTGGCCATACCCCTGGCCAGACACACACGCACCCTCTGAGAACAAGCCCAACCCTAATGCAGCCCTCAATGAGATTGAGTTTGCTACCCCTGCTCTAGAGCAACAAAAGTTTTTAGCATACGTTTGCAAATGTTTCTATACAGCCATTATACACTATTAAAACAGTTTCAGCTCTCATTCGGCTGTGCAGGGATAAATCGTAAAATTAAATCTCAGCAGTGTAATCCTAACTCATGTCAATTCAATATTTATGCTTAAGTGCCTTGGGTGTTTAAATTGAATTTAAACAGAAAGCTGTAATATAAATCAAATAAATAAATAAATTACCATTAACAAAGACAGCAAATCTTAAGAATGAGAGGTACCGTTCACCCTCTATGGGATTCCAACCAATATCAGGGTATCCGGCTGCTAAAAGCATTTGGCAGCTCTGAAGACCGCAGCCTGCCAAGTAGGTTACAACCTGTTCAATACAAACATGAATATCATCTTAGGCTTTGTTCTAAGCAATCAAAATGAAAGTGAGCTGAAACAACATATTGATACGTGTGAGTAGGTAAAAATGCATGGACAAACATTTTAAGCTTCTAAAAAATGTAAGGAACCAATTTCTCGGGAGATAGGAAATTGTTTTCAGAAGAAACTGATTTCTATAAATTTACTAGCAGACATAAGAGACAACAGCCATGGAGACAACAACTGAGAAAAATATGAACAGACGGGAAGGACTGAATTCAAATAAAGTTTTTCTTCTTTTCCCAAAAAGTGACTGGGACTGACAGATCTATGGATGAACCAAGGGGTCAGTCAAGGACAGTCACAAACACAGGAATCCCTGATCAAATGCTTGAGAGCATCTCCAGGACAAACCTAGCTCCCTTTGTTGCCTGGACTCAACAAATCCCATGAGCCCCCTATCATTTCCTCTCAGGGTTCATGTTGATTCTTCATAAAGGTAAAGGTAAAGGTTCCCCTCGTACATATGTGCTAGTCATTCCCGACTCTAGGGGGCAGTGCTCATCTCCGTTTCAAAGCCGAAGAGCCAGCGCTGTCCAAAGATGTCTCCATGGTCATGTGGCTGGCATTATTAAACACCTTCCCACCCAAGATGATTCCTATTTTTCTACTTGCATTTTTACATATTTTTGAACTGCTAGGTTGGCAGAAGCTGGGACAAATAATGGAGCTCACTCCATTACACAGCACTAGGGATTCGAACTGCCGAACTGCCGACCTTTCTGATCGACAAGCTCAGCGTCTTAGCCACTGAGCCATCGCATCTTCATAATATAATATAAATTAGGAAATTAAACACATCTGCTATGAGAAGACCATACTTTAGTGACAATAGCCATAAATAATATACTACACATAAATAATATACTAAATAAATATACTAAGTAAAAACTAAGCCCCATTATGTAAGAGGAAAAGCTGCTATGAATCAACAGCCAGAAAACTCACTTCTTTGTCTCTCAACACTGATGAGTTACCTATTCTGCAAGAAAGACAACTAAGATCAGAGAACATCAAGATTGTAGAGCAAGTTTTGATAAAATGAAAAGTTGTACACAATGTTGAACAATTACTTTTTCTAGGTCTGGCTCCTCCAATGCAAGGGCAAGCTCATTATTGTCCATTACGGAAGCGGCTGCTACATCTAATGGAGTGGACCCTCTCATAGAAGGAGAAGCTGGAAGAAAAAGAAATGATTATGCATAGAATTAAAAATATCAGGAATGTAGTTACAGGCATTTTGCAGCAGAGGGCAGCAGTTACTTTGCAGTTAGCTAAAGTTTAAACATTCATGTTTTTTTCTTCATGGTTATGGAGAGAATCCACTGATTGCTGATTGTTGTTGTGACTGTTGGTTTGCTTTCAGCTCAGCATTTTATGGCTTAATTAGTAGAGATTCATCAATCTTCACTTTTCTGGTTTGTTCCTAATTGTTTTATTGTAATAAAATTATAATAAAATAATAAAGCAACATCATAACATACTTTGCATAAAAGTATAAAATACCAATGGCAAAAGACTGTGAAAGTTGTGTGCTCATCAAAATAGCATACTTCTGGGCTCAAGCAGAATCACTACCTGGTACTTTCCCACCTCATACAATAATTGACATGCATCATAATAATAGTTTGTGTCACTATACAGTACATGTCACATGGAGGTATTTGCTGGAAACTAACAGTAAACAGCAAATACTTGCTTATGCAATGTTATGAAATGATCTTCACTTTCTGAAATACACATGATTCCCCCCCCCCCCGATACACAGAACACAGAACTTCAAAAAAAAAAACATAATTAAAGAGGCCAGAGCTATTGTGGTTCATAGATCATCATTGTAGTTCTGGAATAATGTTCAGACAGGACAGTTTAAACATAAAATAAAAGGACTGGTTCAAAAATGTGACATAAATATAACTTCAAAGAATTCTATGAGTCTTCTTTCCAGATTTGTAAATATATGCTTACTGACTGTGCGTATTAGGATTTTCCTGGAGTAATAGTTTAGTAACATTAAAATACCAATATAATATCTCAAATGTTGACCAGCTCTCAACACACTTGAGATGCCTTATCTTTCATATGTAAGGTTTTAATCTTGAATAGTCAGTTAAAAGCCACCTTACTAATGTGCTTGGTTCAATCTTATTGAATGTGGTGGAGACAATTATGCTCTATGTCTTTTACAATATGATCTGTAAAAAGCTCTAGAGGGTTTATAATTCTTTAATCTACAGCACAACTTAAAAACCAGTTACATAAATAAAAAGAGTATCAATATGCAAAATAACTTAAATTAGGATTTCATGTAGCAGGCTACAAACTAAAGTGTTTGATATGTCAAATTAAGCCAAATGGCTATTAAAATTAAATAGCATACCAAGTCCAACATTGCTGTTTTCAAGTAAGTAGCTTAAATGCTCAAACATGGCTTTTTGGTTTTGGCGACTGATCCGGCAAAAATAGCAAAGAAACCGACAACAACTTGCTACCATTTTAGGAAAAGCAATCTGCAGAAGAAAAACACCATTAAATAACCTGCAAATTTTCTATTTAAATATTCATACAAAAAGTTTTTCTCTGCTGCTTTGCACCAATTACTTTAATAATACTAATGGAGAATCTGCAAAAATCGGGGGACCACTCAGGATTGCCAACAGAGAGAGTATTCTCAGCAAATATTCTGTAAAGGGCCACAATTGCTTCCTATTTTTTGAGTGGCAAATCAGGCCACTCCAAGAATGTTTGTGCAATACTTTTGATAACATTACAGTTCTTTGGATACATGAATGTAAGCATGTTTGTTGCTAGTGTTACTTTGTTGGCTGAATGAATGATTTGCAGGGAATATTTATGCAAAGTCACGAGCAGTGTGAATCTGAAAATTAATAGAACTGAACTGAAAATTAATCAAAGAACAAGGTGGTTGTGTTTTACAGGGAAAACTGAATGGACAATATCAATGTATACACACACACAAAAAGAAAACTAGGGCAAATACACAAATTTACAGTAAGCATCTTGGGAAAATATTTACTACCAATGAGAGAATGGGTGGAGAATTTTATGATGTACACATATGGAAAGAGAGATATTGGGTAATCTGTTGTGTATTGTGAGGAATCAACATTTGTGAAAAGTAGTGAACGGTGTTTATGCCTAATTTGGAAGGGTAAGCAGGACATAACACGGGGAGGGGAAAACTAAGTTCTCAGTATAAATAGGAAGTAAAAATGTAAAGAAAAAAGAGACAACATATAAATAAGGCTGACATAAGAATGCTTTGTAATTATAGGAAGATACAGAAAGTATAATTAACTGTGTTGGTGGTAACTAGCTATAGCTATGATTTGTTTTCCTTTTTGTATCTCATGGTTTTAATTTCTTTGGATTACTTTTTCTTTGGTTGTGATATCATCATACTATTTAGCTCATAAAACAAATAAAGGTTATGTATAGAATGTATACATGTATGTATATTTGCATGTAAAGTTATGGTAAACTTAATTATTAAATCCTTATCTTTAAAGTCCTCACAATTAAAATATGAATCTTGGAACCTGTCCTAATTTCTGGCTTGTTTTTTTTCCCTAACGAAAATTAGAAAGATGCATTATATTTATCATTATTTTTTATTGTCAAAAGTCTCTAACTTTGGTCCAGATGCCTTCATTTTCATATTTGTATAATTGGTATAAACAATTACTGGAACTCTCAAAGAAGTATGTATCATGTGACATTATATATTCGGGAGGTACAACATGTTTTTCACTCTTTGCCCTATAAATAGCATAATGTAATGATTAAAGCGCTGGAATTGGACTGAAAACCCAGGTTCAAGATTGTTCTACTCAACAACAAAATCATGAGTTGACTTTGGAGAAGTCATCTTTCTATCCAAATATTTATGAGAAATTCAAAATATTTCTTCATTATTATGTATGTAGTAACAGAAGAGAAAACCCAGCAAGTTTTATCTAATACTAAAAGCATTTGCATTATGGAGGACATGTCTGGGTCAATACTCAAAGCCATTAGCAATTTTTTTTCTGACATCTTAAAACATTAGTCATTTACATTTTTGAGAAAAATGCCACAATCATTCAAGTGTCAAATTGCAGAGCACCACAGTAATCATTAAACCTCCTAAAGTATATGCATTGAAATTACTTTAGAATTCAGCAGCTTGAATAAAAAATAAATGGTACTCTATTGCACCAAATCTTGTTGACAGCAGGCAATTATTTTATGAGGATTTTTCCCTGCTAACTTTAACACTGTATCATCTGATTGCGACTGAGAAAAGAATTAAAATGCGAACATGTCTAATTTTTTCCTCCGTGAGAAAGTATAATTTCCTCCCATTTTTGTTATCTGCATTAAATTAAAATCATTTCATTTTTTTAACAATATGTATATTACGTTTGTATAATTGCATTGCACTGTTCAGCCAATGATCTTAAACTTAAATAATTAGCTTTGCAGTGGACCATAATGTCACATGTTAGAAAAATGTATCAGAAATCTTTTGATCTTATTTCTACTTTCCGATGATCATGGGAAAGTCATGGGAAATTATTTTCAAACTAAATGTTTGAAGAATAAAATATGTAATCGGTTACTATCAAACTTCCTCCCATAATCAGAAAAGCACATAGAGGCAGGTATACTATATATACTAAGTTGTGACTTATTAACTGAATGGAGCTGAGTGTTTACTGGCTGGATGCCCTTCCTGTCACCAATGCAGAGTTTTATTCAGCATATATATTCTCAGTGTGCCCAGAGAGAGAAATATCTGCCTCTGCCTGGATCAAATTAACAGCCTCCTGGTTGTGAGTCGAGATCTCCACTTCTAGGTCACTGCACCACTTGTTTCACTTTATTACATGTGCATAGCATATTTATACTAGACCTCTTACTTATAGTAAGCATAGAACACCACAAATATCTATGAAATTACCTGAGATTTGTCTCCTCCAAGCACATTTACCATTACTTCCATAACTGTCTCATGCATACCGAGGACTCTCATAAGATTAGGATGCTGATAAAATACTTTGTTGTTCATTATATCTCTAAGTGAAAAAAAAAGTGAAAGACAGTACTTTTATTTATTTTACAACAGCACCATTTTTAGTTCCACAATTCAAAACATATTAGAAAAGAATATTAGAATACATTTTAATTCTAAGGGGGTAAAACAGATTACAAGTTTAGTGTCATAAAAAAAGCCAACTTTGTTGAGGTCATGCTCAATTATAAGTGACAAGGTTTGCACAGTTAAGTTCTATTCAATCTAAATCAGATTGTTAAAGCAGAAAAAGAATTTAGGATTAAATCTTGAATTATGCGGTTTGGGTTTTGTTTTACCTGTTCTGTTCCCATTTTTAATCAGAATCAGGACTCTCAGAAAGAGAGGGATTTAACTACTCTCTTATAAATAGATTCCTTAAAATTTCACACGTAGATGTGTGTTTTAAAAGGCAATAAGGAAAAAAGAAATAAAACACAGACAATATTTGAAAAATGAAACAGGTGAATAGTTCTGACCTATTGTGAAATACAGTACTGATAATGTATCTTGAGTCAATTTTGACTTTTAACAGTCACCTAGCAGGGAAAATCTGTCCCCATCTTAATTTTTCAGGGTTTCATGGGACAGCATGCACTAACTTTAATACAAAAACAAGGAGGTTACTTGCCTGTTATAACATTAATTGGTTGTTATTTGATCAATAGAGGTGGTTTGAAAAAAAACCTTGCATCTTAAGCCCTGGAGAACCTTTGCCACAGAAAGTCCTGCACCAATGACTATCTGAACAGTCTTGTAACAAAACCAATCAGGTTGACAAATGGGCCTAGAGTATGTCTTAACTAAGAATCAATAAAGCTGAATGTTCTAACTATATTTTAAGGCATTAAAGAATTTATTTCTTACCCTAGGCCATTAATCATGAGCAATTCTTCTTCTTTTCCCATCCTGACACTGAGAAGTGAACGAATTTGCCCCAGTGCTGCTAATAAGTTGATTGTGTCTTGCACGGAATTAGCACTTATAGTATAAGATTTCCTCAGTGCTTGCAGCAGCTCACCAATGCTATCATACTGCCGTCGAAGTAAGTTAAACATAATGCGAACTAATTCTGGATCTTGGATCTGATCTTCCTGTGCCCAGCGAACCATAGTTTGAGAGATCAGCTCTTTCAGAGAAACTGCGATAGAAGGGGAAAGGTAGGAAAAAAATACACACGAATCTTGACATAAAAGCTTGTCAAAAGCTTGCTGCAATTAAGGAAGCTGAAAGTTTAATTAGCAATGGTTACTTAAAGAGTTTAGGGGTTAGAATTTCATCTTGGGTGGGAACAGCGGGTAGTCGCAGCCCTGCCAATTATGCAATGACCTTATGTAGATAAGTTGCATCACTTTCAGGCTAACAATGTGTATACATGTTGTTATCTGCCTTCTCTTATCCTTGAATAAGGGAAGAAGTCAATGATTACACCTTTTGCAATAAAAGGAGCACAAGCGGCTGCATTACTGATATAGGAGATATTTCGATTCATGAAATGTGAATGCACATCACATAATTCCAACAAACATTCAAGTCACATACTCATATCCTCTGTGTTTCCTAATATCTGGCTTTTGATGGCAATAAACCAAACTCCAATTTGCCATAATTTCCACTGGCTGTCACTTCAGTATCACTTTATTCTCTCGCCCCGCAAAAAATATGTGCCACTGAATTCATAGATTTATAGAACCATATTTGAGAATGAAAATCTAACATAAAAAATGGAATTTTCACCTACTTTAGGTCAAAGATATAGGTTTACTAAAACTCTACAGTTCTACTAAGAATTGAAAGATTGGTGGATCATGCAATCCTCATAGGTAAAACCCAAAAAGAGAGACACCTAGGCAAGAGCAAAATCTCTTTCTTCTGATTTATGATGGCAAGATAAACTGTTGAGTGGAATTTAAACCATTAATTGAGCCAGCTGTCTATTATATATGGGACTTCAGGAGTACACCACCACATTTTTTTAAAATATCTAAAGCATGAAGAAACATTCACAGTGTGCAGTGCATATTGGACTACCTGACTCATATTATTTTGCAATTCCCATGGGAATCATCATTTAAAGATGAAGGAAAATTTACATAGTAACATGATTATATGTGCCATACAGATATCAATGAAATAGAATTCTTGAAAGAGACAATATATGAATTCTTAAGTCAAAGTTCAAGGAGTGACCAGAAACTTTATTTCCCATTTCATAAAATGAGACAAAACATTCCAGATAGGAGACAAAGAGAAGCCATCAAGCTCTCAGTTGTGGTTAAGTCTTTTTAAAAATATTGGGTGTGTTAACCTCACTTTCTAATCATCTTCAGAAATTAAGTATTTAGCTACCTTAAGTTTAATAGAGATCTTAAAAAAACATGCTTGCAAAGCCACCTAGCAAGTTTACCTTCATTCCAGAATAAAAGAAAAAATAACTAGGAGCTGAAGAACTTAAAGAATGTGAAATAAATGGCAAAACCTAAATAAGATTAGGGGAGACACGATAACTTTGTTCCAATATCTCAGGGGTTGACACAAAAAAGAGGGATTCAAACTATTCTCCAGGGCACTTGAGGGTAGAACAAGAAGCAATGGGTGAAAACTATCAAGGAGTGAAGTACCTTAGAACTGAGGAGAAATTTCCTGACAGTTAGAACAATTAATCAGTGGAACGGCTTGCCTCCAGAAGTTGTGAATGCCCCAACACTGGAAGTCTTTAAGAAGATGTTGGATAGCCATTTGTCCTGCCTTGGCAGGGGGTTGGACTAGAAGACCTCCAAGGTCCCTTCCAACTCTGCTATTGTATTGTATTGTAAGATTTTAACTTATAAGTTATAAACTGATTAAGGGACCAGACAAATATATATATATATATATATATATATTCCTATATTAGGAATTGTAATTATATTAGGAATTGTAAAATTCATAATATTCAAAATTTGTCTGGTCCTTTAATATATATATCTTGGTGATGTTTCGACGAGGTCCCACTTGCCATCTTCAGGCTGGTGCGAGCAAAGTGTAATCGGAACTCCCGTCTTTCTATAAATATTGGTGCGGGTATGTGTAGTGCGGGATTTGTTGCTGTGAGCAACAAAGACAGCCTTCGGCACTGACCAAAAAATAGCCAACATCTTAAGAAACCCCAAAGACAAGATCCAGCTAAAAAACCAAGGAGTCTATTTAATATCATGCAAAATCTGCGCAGGAACATACATTGAACAAACTAATAGGAGAATAAATGCACGCATTGCAGAACACAAGAACGCAGTCATAAAAGAAGAAAAAACTTCTTCCCTCTTCCAACACCTTAAAGCAACAGAACATGAAATTGATTTTTAAAGAACCAAATTAATCTCCAAAACTGAACACTTCAACAAGAGAATAATTAGGGAAGCCATCGAAATAGAGAAACACCCCCACAACATGAATAAATATGATGATACCTTCCATCTACCAGACATCTGGAAACTAGCCCTAGTCAACAAACGAGTCCCAGCCACAAAAACCAACACTGGACCCAGAACAACACAGGACGCAACCACCAATCACCCTCACCAGATTCAAACCCAAACCCATCCCATAGACCATATGCAACCACCATCCAGAAGCCAAACCACGGCGGCATTTTCCAAAAGTTGTTAAGAATGACAGATTTGAAAGAGAATTCCTTGGAAGACCTTGTCTTTTACCACTGCTATTAAAATGTTCAATGAATTTTTTTCTTTAAAAAATCCTTCTACATTCTATGCATGAGAAAGATGAAACTGTGAGGTTCAAATTCATAAATTTCTAGGAAGAATTTTAAGATGGAATTCCATGCTCACAGCATAGTTGGGAGATTTCTTAAATGCCTTAAAGTGACTTACTTATTATTTTCAGACTGTATCATAAAGGAAAGTAAATTCCCTTAATGAATTATTCCTGTCTATGCAGTATGTTGCTGTAAGTCACTTAATTCATTTTTACTTAAACAGCATACAGCACTTGTACAGAAGTAAATTATAAACTAATAAATTAATAAATCGATAAATGACAATCTTTTATCTTAGTTTAGTAGACAAGACCAATATTTGGTAAAGATGCTTCAAATGTGGAGTAGCCTTGGCCTTTCTGATGTGAACTGGGAAAGGAGAGTTCCTCAGACTACAACAGAGAAATGATAAGCAAAACCTGCAGAAATATATAAATGTATTGGTCTAGTAAATTCTTCATTGATGTTGCTCAAACCACCTAATAGAGAGGCTTATTTTGTCCTCAAAATCCTTAGGCACCATGAGAATTGTAGTTACACTATAATCAAGGATGTAACTAAAGGTTACACCCTTGATTATGCCTGCAAACACTGGCAAAGCAGTGGGCTAGCCACTGTAACCAGGGTGGGTGGGAACGAGGGAGAATAAAAGCAAGAGAACATGGATATGGGAGTTCTCCAAAGCTTAAGGAGTTTTTCTATATGTATAGAGCCTTCTCTTGAAGTTCCTCTTCTAGCTGTTAGACTGCCTGGAGGAAGGTTTATGAAAGCGTCTCGAGGGAATACGATTACTTGGAGCTATAAATGAACTAAAGAAAAGTTCAAATGCAGCTTTTCATTCTAACCAAATAACGCTGAGCTTTGTTTCAAAACAAAATATTAAAAGAAATATACATTTAAGGGGAAAAGCTTCCATGCCATAGCAGATTATATCTTTAAAAGAAACCACAAAAGGACTCCTGCAAAAAAAAAAAAAGCATGGGAGACCTAGCTTTAATTGCTTTTTTCAGCAGGAAGTTTTGAAAAGCTTATTGTAAAAACATTAGGGTAGCAGCTCAAAGGAAAGATGCAGTGCCTATCATCTTGTCCTGAATTTAATGATTCGTTAGATTTGGTTAGAACACAAGTCTTTGCAGACAGACATGGATAATTAGAGTCTGAGGTGGGCAGTGAGGTGGAAAGGCAGGCACTTTGAACTAATTTATGACATCTTCAGGGGGTAAGCTTATTTTGATTAGACTATTTCATTCTTTTAATCCTGAGAGGGAGACAGCTAGGACAGCATTTTTCTGCAACTTTAAGATGAGTGGACTTCAATTCCCTTGGTGGCTAAGGAATTCTGGCAGTTGAAGTCTACCCATCTTAAAGTTGCTGAAGTTGAGAAACAGTGGTAGAGGCATAATCAAAAAGACAAGACAAATGTATTTTGAATACGCTGTTCCTTCTCATTTCTCTATCTAAAATGAGACAATTTTAATCAAGAGCCTAAAGCTGAAGAATATCTCTCCAGGAAATGTGATTAGAGAAGAAAATTACAACACACATAATAGGTGTTCACCACGATTCTTTTGAATGGTCTGTTCAAAAAAGAAAAAAAATAGAAATAGTTATATTCTTAGAAAAAATCTATGTGAGATGATAACACTGTCCCCAGTTATATTTGTTATATAAAAAAGTTATACACATGCTTATCTTTCCTCTTCCTATTATCCAAAATGGGGATTAAGAAACTTTATTATTTCCTCTGCAAACTAGCTCACACAGTGACTTAAACATCCATGGTAAAATATAAAATTAAACAAAAATATCAGAAATAACATCATAACATAAAACCATAACAACTAACTGCATTCCTTCTCCAGTAAAAATCTTCCTTTCATAAGTAAATTGACAGAAGAAAATTATTCAGCTCAACCTGAATCTAATATTAGTTTAAGACTATCGTGAGTTTTGGGCTTTTAACTTTGTGCCTAAAATGTACCTAAAACTTTGTACCTAAAATGCATGACATATTTAACCCATGACACTGTTCTAGATTGGATATCTGATTAATTCTTTAATATATATTCCAGATGGACTGTACTCTAGATCTCTCTGTGAGACTGATAGTGCTTCTTGTGCATGAGAAACTGCAAAGTTATAGTTCATCCAAAGCTGTAATTTAGTTTAAGGAGTACTGTTATTAATTTAAATTCTTACTAGGATATTTATCTTCTTCTTCTGTTGCTTCTCTCTTTTCTGTTTTGTGTATTCCTTTTATTTTATATATCAAAGAACATAGTTTTCCAGCCCATGAAATATTTTCTTCCTCTTCTTTTTCTTCATCTAATGGAATACCTAGTGTGTAAGGACAATAAAAATAGTATACTTGCAATATTCTAATAATTAAAGAACCATCTTTATGCATCTCATGCAGTAATTAAACAAGCACAATCTTTCAAGGAAGGGCTGCCAGTGAAAATAAAAAAGGACCAGGAAACTTTATTGCAAAGAACAGAATAAACATCAATGAATGGGATAGGTGAGGCAAATGATTGAATGAGGATTTAATCATGCTGTACTGCATAAATTCCTGAAGTTTACAGCCCAGACCAGGTCAATGGACATTAAATTATGTTAGGGAAGTTAATGAGTAACAGCAAGTGGTAGCATCCAACTGACCTTAATTAATCTTGAAAATGTTAAATAGATTGGATCTGATCAGTATGTTGATGGGAGATCACCAATGAGAATACCAACGGCTGAAAAAAAACTTCCTATTGAATAGCAATAGTAAACCATATCTATACTGCTACCAAGAAAACTACATGGATATATCCACATAATAATAACCAGGAGTTGAGCTCCATTTAAGAGATACTTCATTTTTTTTTCTGGGGAAAAGGAGAAGTATTGAAAACCAGCTCAGTGAGATCCACTGCTAGAAAAAAATATATGTGGTCCTTCAAATTAGTTATTTTTTTACATTGAAATTGTTTTTTTTTATTTTGTCCATATTATGTTTTCTATAAAAATGCTATAACAATGGAAGATCTGTAAGTAGTAATCTTTTATAGACAAAAAATAAATAAAAAAATCACAGGAACAATATGACCACTCAGCAAAATGAATACTTGCTACCCACCACAATGAATTAGGAGCTTATCATGAAACTCATATAGCTCTTCCCGAATCTCCACTGGACAAGGACAATCTTCCCCCAGCTGAAAATTCAGCAGCATATTAATCTGAAATTAAAAGATTAAAATTAGAACTAGGGTTGTACTGTACTCAGATTTTCACTTTAATTTTTGTTTCAATCCATTATAAGAATATTTTTTTTAAAAACTCATCAACATCTGAGACAGAGGCCCACTAATAATTTTCCTGTTCCCTCCATTTTCTTTTTAACTCTGTCCTAGAGGACACGGGATTATGTTTTTTATTCTATTTCCTTCTATTTGGATGCCCAGCATCAGAAATACTAGATAGTTTACGCCAGTGGTGGGTTTCAAANGGGAGAGAGGGAGGAAGGAGGGGGAGGGAGAAGAAAAAGAATCGGAAAACTTATTTTGCAAGGGGGAAAAATGCTGTCGCTTTAAATTGGAACTGAGCATGCCTGGCTGTGGAATTCTGGGAGTTGAAGTCCACAAGTCTAAAAAGTGCCTCACCAGGCCTAAAGCTGACCGCACGTCACTGGTGCTATTCCAAAAGCACTGGAATTACATTTAAAGCAGTTAAAAATTGACAAAATCACCATCAGTCAAATGCAAAAAGCCGCACTGCTTACATCTGCACGCATATTACGAAAATATGTTACGACGTCCTAGGCCCCTAAGTCAGGCCCGACTAGTAACCAATGCCAAATCTGACGAAACAACTGGCCGCTGTGATACAATTGTATAATAACAATAATAATTGTACACTTAGGAACAATGTAGGAAAAATACCGAGTATTTACCAAATACAAAACTGTTAACAATTATCCTTTAAAAATGATTAAAATTTTGCTCTGTACTTTGTTTGGAATTGTGTACTGAATGCAATATTTTAATGTTTTATCCAAACATCATATCTCTTTCACCACCCACAATATTCAAATCGATTGTCTTCATAGAAATTGTGTAATATTTGCTTCATCGTTTGTAGTTTCATATCAGGTTTATTTTCTGTTCAACACATATATCCCCAAATATAGCATTATTAATTTCATTCTCAGTTTAAATCTTCCACCTTACTGAAGTAGAAGAGAATGTCACAGGCAGAATCATATTTTCACGAGAAATGAGAGTCTTTTTCTCAGAGAAAATTGTAGCAAAAATTGGTTAGACTTTAAGTATAGGGGTTGATAGAAACAGCAGCCTGTTTTGACTACCACAGTGATGAATTTTAATCCTCGGGTAAACCTATATTTAGATTCAGTTTAATTTTTTTTAAGAAATGAAGGCTGGTTGGTGATCCACTGTTATTACTATCCTCCGATATTAACTATTGGACGGATTACTAAAACAGGATACAGCAATAATGCATTATCAACATCCAATCTGTAATATTCTGCTCCTCAGCGTTAAATAATACCCTTACATCATAACTTTGATTATAAACAATTACATTCTCCACAACCTGTATCAATTCATTAGTACAGAAATGTGAGATAGAATTTGCTGTATAGAATATATGCAGAAACTCCAATACAATTTCAAATGATTAACCAGCAGATTTGAGGGAGCCCTGGATTATTTTTTTCTAGTATTGCAATAAACCTTCTCATAAAATTAAAATGGTGCAGTCAATTCAGCACATCAATTCATCAGAATAGAGCTGGAAGGGATCTTCAAGGTATTCAAGTCTAATCCCTTGCGCAGGCAGGAGACCCAATACCATAATTGATACTGTACAACCTACTCAATATAAACATAGATAATGTTCTTATATTTTCATAAAACATTAATTCATAAAAATTAAAACACAAAAAGTGAAAATTTGTGGAAAAAATATTGATACCTGATAGAAAGTTCCCAGTTCTTTTCCATTGGCTGTGAATGACAACATCCCAGTAGCTAATTCGACAAGGCATCCAATTTCTAGATCAACATTACCACGATTTGATCTTTGAGAATTTACGAATGATTCTCCTCCCCAAACCAGATAGCAATTACTACGCTTTACACTGAAAGATAGCAACCAGAAAACAATGGAATGTTAAGCATTGCCCAAAGATTTATTTAAATATATGCTCTATGTGGAATATCCTACTGTATGCTATGGAAAGATAAAAAGCACAAATAAGTTATAGAAATTTGGGGAAAAAAATAAAATAAAATAAAATGAAATAAAAAAAAAATAAAAGTTTGGATTTGCTGAAACTGAAGCTCAAGATATTCCACGAGGAGGCTCTATAGCTCTCATAAACCATCTGGCAATTATCACCAATGTTCAGAAAGTAAGTTCAGTGAACATAAGGCATTAGACATTTATAACAATTAACGATTAATTAAAATACAGTTTATTTTGTATTACATGGATCAGCCAAAAGCTCAATTTAAATGTTTATTTTAAAATAACTAGTACAAAGCAATTTCGTAAAGATTTTTTTACACTGTTAATTTATGAAAATGCTATTCCATAACTAAGTTATAATGGAAATTAAAGTCAGAGTGACTTTAGAGAGTTAGTTAAATTATCCAAATATGGATAGCTATAGTTTATACCATATAGTTTAAATTGTGCTTGATAAAGTAATTGCTAAGTATTGTTATTGATACAGAGCATACATTATGGTTCAAATATTGTTTCAATGATAATTATTCTTGTGCTAGGAAGAAAGGAAAGAAGGGAGGGAGGGATTAATGTATTCATTAGGTAATTTATAAGACCAAACCTTTCATGGACTCTTCCTCTTTCATCTCCTAAAGTAACTGTTACTGTGCAATTCTTATTTAGGTCAAAATGTTCACTGTAAAAGTGGTAGTCAGGAGTTACCCAACCAATCCAGACTGAAGACGGGTCTTGACCAGCAAAGATCTTCACTGAGTAGTAATACTGGAATGACAAATATAAATATTAGTACAATACTTAGATATTTTTTTCTTAAGATAAAATGTATTCCATACTAAATAGAGAGAACTCTACTAACACATCATTTTCAATTTTACTGAAATTCCTAATCATAAAACTCACTAACTATATAAATGATGACATTTTCTAAATTACACACACACACACACACACACAAATATGCCTATATATCTGTGTGTATACACACACACACACATATATACATACATATATATATACACATACATATGTGTGTATATATTTGTGTGCATATATACAGATNTCTTTCTGTCCAGCTTTAATTGGCCAATGTTATTTTTTAAAAATAAACTAATTTCTGTATGAATGGTTCAATGAAATTTTCAAACAAGTGTATTTTCAGAGATAATTTTTGGGGGGTTTGGCTTTATTATAAACTAAATGAAAAGCCACAAAATACTGCAAGAATTGTGATTGAAAAACATTTGGTATAACTATGAATATAGTAAATTGTGTGTTCATATAAATTTTGTAAATAAATAAAAAAACAAATAAAAGGAAATGGCTAAATAAATAAATAAATAAATCTAGCAGGCTTGTTAAGTCAATTTGTAAATTGACTATTAAAAATTATCTGTGAGAAAGTTTTAGGAATAGTAGTAGCAGTAATAGTAATAGATCATCAGCTCAATATGTGCAAACATTATTATGCAACAGTGTAACAGCAAGAAAGCCAATGTTAATTTGGATGCATCACCAGAAAACTATGTCTAATTGTGAGAAATAATCATTAACGGTCATGTTATATTAATGATCTCAGTTGGAGTATTATATATAGTATTATACCAGTATATAGGTTCCAGAAAGAACCTGGTGCAGGCTCATTGGAGAACAACAAGAATGGAAAGGGATCGAGAAACCAAGTCCATGAGTAATACCTGAAGATATAAATGTGTTGAGAGTGCAGAGAAGACCAAGGAAAAGTAAGAAAATTACATATGTATAATAGTTGTCACATGTATAATGAGATGGACTTCTTCTCTGTCAAAATTGAGAGAAGGATGAGGATTAGCAGACTGAAATTAAAAGGAGATTCGGGATGAAAATGAGGACAAATTCCTGATGATGAGATCTGCCTAGAATTCCTCCTCATTGGAAGTTTCCAAATAAAAACCAAATGACAATCTCTGGAAATGGTTTAGAGCAGGAGTGTCCAAACTGGGCAACTTTAAGACTTGTGGACTTCAACTCCCAGAAGTTCACAAGTCTTAAAGTTCCCAAGTTTTGACACCCCTGGTTTAGAGGAGCTGAACAGTAGGACTTGTTGACTTATAACTTCTAACTCATACATTCTATTTAAAATATTTATATATATACCTGTTTTCTTCTGGAATATGAAGGGCCATCATTTGCAATGGTTCCAGGCATTGTACCAGCCATCCATGGCGGTCGCTGACACGATCAGTCTCTACTTTCAGGAAACTGTTTGGCATTCTGCTCCAGACAACTGGTGTGAGTGTTTGAACATCCAGCCGAGGAGGGCACTGAGGAATGGGATTTCTCTCTTCACTCTTAAAGATTGCAGCTGATAAAGGCATGGTGTTCTAGAAAATAATACATGGAAATTTAAATTTTTTGAATTGAACCTTTAGAATAATATTCTGTATGCATAATGTATTATGTGGGTGTTTGTCAAATGAATGCAGATTTTACTCTCAGGAGGTTGGTCAGAAAGAAGAAAAATATCTGCATAGTTCCTTTTTCTTCATCCTTATTTGCCAGATACGAAAGGAATGAAACAATGGTTCACATACATTTAATAGGCACCATAATGGTACAAAGCTTAGCAAAGCCAACTTGGGGTAATGTAGCAATTTAATATGAAATGTCATATAATGTAGATGGAGCTTGTCCCATAGATCTGTGGAAGGATATCTTGTCGAATAGCACCATACTGCCATTGTGGTGCAGTGGTTAGAAAGCAGTAGTTCAGGGTAATTCTGCCAACTGCTGGCAGTTCGATTCTCATCCTTCCAAGGTCAGTAAAATGAGGACCAAGTTTGTTGGGGGCAATTTGCTGATTCTGTAAACTGCTTAGAGAGGGCTGTAAAGCACAGTGAAGTATATAAGTCTAACAGCTATTGCTATACTTTCCTAAGTTTATTTTGCTAACTAAGTATAAAACAATTGGATTCACATTTCTTAAATGTGAGAAAACCATCAGCAACAAAACCAAGTGCACTGTAAATAAGCAAGAAATTTAAAAGTATTACAGTTTACCAAAATATTGTCTTGACCCCTGCTGTCTTGCAACTCTATATTGTTTGGGGAAACTAATAATAGAAGCAGAGATTATCCCTATAGTTAAACATTTGCCTGTGATTATTCATGAATCACTTTACTTAAGAATGATTAAATGTTATTTTTATGTAAGACTCTGCTGATATGCTGACTAGTTAACACAGCTTGCCTGTTTGAATTTACTTAAGAGTCACAACATCTATTGATTGTAATTTGATTAAAAAATACCTTTAATTTACCCAGTTCAAACTGTACCAGGTTTGTGCTCGTAGGCTGTAAAAAAACAGCTGGAAATAGTTTTGTGTGTGGTTCAACCTGAAAAATAGAGTTAAAATGCAATATAAACCTATTAGCGGCACATGTGAAAAACTGTAATGATATATTTAGCAAATCATTTCAATCATTTCAGAATAATACTTAAGTCAATAAATAAATATGCACACAAATAGTACAAAATGTGATAGGGTTATATTGACAGCAGCAGTGTGCACTGAGAATGAAACCATGACATGTGATGCCATCATGCAAATAAGTAAAATAAGCATGGTGCCAGCTATTCAGAATATTAAAAAAATACAGCTTCCAGCAGTCAGAAAATTAAATGAGCATAGGAGATCAAGAAAAGTTTTGCTACAGGTTGTATTCAGAGTCCAGAGTGAAGACTGATGCAGGAATGGATTAGAATAAATTCTATTGTAAAAATATATCCATATATATGCCTTTTATTTGCATTTTATGTATAATCCCTCTTCAATAAAACAGTGAATTATTTATGGGTGGGAATATAATAAATGAAGAAAAAAAAACATTGCCCCTAAGAAGTGAAAAAAAACATACTTTAAGAGGAATTGAAACTATATCAGTGCAAATGTCATCCGTTCTGCTAATGGTTATAAAATAATGCTCAAAAGTGATAATAATCACTTTTCAAATCCTACTTTGGGATGATGGCCAAGTTGCTCTGTTTCTCTAGTATACACTAATATTCATAAATCATGGGCAGATTCTATGTGCTTTTGTGTGTTTAAGCTTATGATATAATAGTTATAATATTTCTATTAAAACCATGTCCCTAGATAAGAAAAAAAATCACCTATGTGCACATGAATTTGATATGTGTACATAAGACAAATAGGTTATGATTTGTAGTCATAATTTGGTTCTTAGACATTTCTGAATGCAGACCCTGCATATAAATATAATTATCCCACCTACTTTATCTAACTGCAAAATGAAAAGAGATATTATATGCAAAATAAATTAAGAAGTAGATCAGGTTTTGTGGGGATTGGAACATAATTCCCAATAGAACAAACATGAATATTTATTAAGCCAAATTTGTTCAATCAACATTTTATTTTTTTTTAAAAAGCAAACACCTATTTTTAATTTTTAATTACAGCAACTTTACATTATAAAAAAATAATTCTCTATTTTAAAGGGGAGGGGAGGAGAGGAAAGGAAAGGTGCATGGGACTGAAGGGAGAATTGTGTGATGAAACAATAAACAGTGAAACATTCATAGTATGTCAATCATAGAAGAAAGAGAGTATCACCATCTTCTAGATAAGATATCTACTGTTCAAGGCTGCTATTGAGGGGAGGGTCTTATATTTTCGCCTTTACCTAAATATGGCAAGCAAGATAAAATTGTCAGTAGAATAAATATGTAGTTGTCTGACTCAGCCAGAAAGGCTATTTTCAAAATGAACAGTCATGGAGTCAAATACTTCAGTATAAATCCTGAAATGGAAAGAACTGAAGAGTACAAATTCCAGAATCTAGATCAAGGTTTTAGAAAATACACATTAATTCTGGGCAGAAAAAGTAAAATTAGAAATTGTACCAAATAAACTAAAATGAACCTAAAATAAAATAACAATCTTTGAAATTAAATCCTGAGTGGTTTCTTAGATATATGCAAATAAGTTGATGCTATAAATAAGCTGATAATGTTCCATGTCATTAGACACAAAGCTCACAGATAATGAATGTAATAAATCTGATTTTACTGTCACACATCTTGATTAAAGTCTTTGTGTTTAAGAGGATTGGGCAAAAAAATAGTAGAATATTGTACTCCATTTAGGAAAAAGGTATGCCCCTTAAATTTATGTCTTACTGGAATATCATCTTGCTAAACCATTATTACACAGTCAAAGGCAACGGTGCATGAAGACCAGAGGTGGGTTTCTGCTGGTTTGGCCTGCATCAGTTGAACCATTAGTAGCGGTGGTAGGAAGCTCCGCCCAACCACTTCTGCGCATGCGGGAGCACGCCAGAACAGATAGTGAAAAAATTGGCAACCCACCTCTGATGAAGACAAATATTTGCTACTGTTGAAAACTTTAGGCTGAAAATCTTCAAAATTAAGTGTACCTGATGTTCTGAAGAGCCATATTCAGAGAGGTGACACAATAAACCACTTGAACATGCAAGAAAATCTTGTCCTAGATAAAATCAATTACCACACCTATAAATTTGACATATGGCAATGAGCTCTGGGAGGATTTATTCTGGTTGACACATAAACCTAATTTATAAAGAAAAGAATAGGTGTAGAATATACTGGAATGAATCTTAGAATCAATATTTAAAGCTTTATTGCCTGGAGCCAGAAAAAGACAGCCACTATTTACTTCTATCTAATGTGTGAAGGTTATGTGCACTGGCAGAATCAAAATGAAAAGTTAATATTGAGATTAGTTACATATAGTGGAATCCTCCCTCCCAAAATAAAAACCCCACAAATATGGTGATGTACAAATAAGCATTCCTATAATTTAACGTTACAAAATAATCATCAAAATGAAGCAATGTAGGAATGTTGTTATGGTGACTGTCTAAAACTTCTTTGTACAAGTGTATCCTCAAATGGCAGAAACTAAGATTTGAATGGATTCAGTCACATTTTTCAGAACTGTAAAATAACAAGAATATCAAAGGATGGAATATTATACCATATTATGAGGCGTACTCATTTTCCAAAATGTTCATTACTTTGGTATTGGTCATTGAACACATTGAAGTAAAAATAATCGATTCAATATCAAATGATAAGTTGCCAGAATATGAGAGAAATTGTTAAACCAAGCACTGTAATAAGATGAAACTATGGGAGACAATTTAAGTCAAAGGAACCACTTGGAGATATCAACAGGCTTGTGACATCTCCCCCCCAAAAAAGATATTACTGATTCTTTGGAGAACACTGGGGGAGGGTGGAAGGGTTTAGATGACAATTTTGTCTGAGGTCTAAGGATTGATATGAGTTTGAGAACTATGCTACTGAACTATCTAGGAAATATAGGTCAAAAATGCCCAAAATATTGCTTCTGTGCAGTGGTGGGTTCTGGATCCCATTGCAACCGGTATGGCTCGTGCATGCATTGAATCTGCCAGTGACACCTCCGCAAGCCTCTGCGATGCTCCAGCTGCTCGGTGGAGTGTTGTGCAGGGGCTGTATGCGCCATGCATGTGAGCGGAAGCCCTAAAGGCTTTAAAAGACAGGTAAGGAGCTTGGGTGGGTGGTCCCTCCAGAGCACCGTACCAGAACGGTACACAGTGCTCCAGGCAGGCTCCGGTATGCCCGTACCACCTCAACCCACCACTGCTTCTGTGCTGCTAAAACAATCGCTGCTTTGCCTCTAGATAAGTGCAATGGCATGTGGATCATAGCCTCATAAAAAAACCTTTTGTAATGGCAGAGACGACGACGACGACGACGACTACTACTACTACTACTACTAATAATAATAATAATAATAATAATAATAATAATAATAATGGCATTAGCAAAAATATTACATCCTTTACTGAAAAGGCGATGAAACAATGGAGAACTGAATTGGCAGTAGGGAATGAGCTCTACGGAATGGTTAATATCAAGCGAGGAATTTTCCAGGATGATTCACTTTCACCTCTTCTCTTCATCATTGCGATGATCCTACTATCAGTAATCTTAAAAAAAATGAAATTAGGCTACCAAACAGCCAAAGAAGCTGAAAAAATTTCGCATTTANAGGCCACACCCACAGAGTAGGTTCCAAATTTTTTTGAAACCTACCACTGAGGCCATCCTACTATACACAATAGCACACACAACTCCAGGTTTTTCCTATAAGTAGTTGTCAAGAATTAAGTATTAATTAAGAAATAAGCATATTACCCAATATTATTGCTTTAGATAGATATGGTCCTTTATAATCACCCACATTTTCTTTGAAATCTTTCTTAAAGTAATTTTTACCTGTTGAATACCATAGGTCCAGCCTTGTTTTATTCGTTCTTTTGCCCAAACATTGTGTGCATTCTCTGCAAGTTTATCAACTAATATTTCTTGAGAAGGTAACAATTTAACTTCAGAAAGATCAAGAGGAGCTGGCTTGTACCCATTTGTCATCATGTAACTGTAAACAAGAAAAAAGATGGACCTACATTTTAATTAATCAAAGAGCTGTTCAGAATATTCTGTGTACATCTATAATTTAGTAAATGTTTAGTCTACTTTAATTATTAATAGGAATTTTAAATCCAAATCAATCTTTTCTATCTCCTTTCATACTAAATTCATATGAACCATATAATTCCTAAGGGAAGGAGACACTTTTGGTGTATAGTTACCATAGATCAATAATGATGCATCCCTCATATTCTTCCAAATATGGACAAACAACTCTTCAGAAAACGAGGTTATGAACCCCTATTGCAAGTAAATAAAGAAGTCCAATGTATATGGTGGGGTTGTGATTCCGATTACTAATTTTTAGATTTTGAACACCTTTTATGGTTAAATAAACTCCTTAGCTTAGCAATTTTAACTGCCATGCATCAGCTGCAGACTTGAACTATTAAACAGCATTAACAATATGTCCTACTGCCTATTCTTATCCACAACATGCAGCACCACAAAATGTAGCACCACAAAATGTTTGCTTGTACCCAGAAACATATAGTTAGTTACTCATTGCTCTATGTTTATTACTTTACGTGAAAAACTTCACATAAAACAACTTGTGACAATCATTGTTATAAATGAACTTACTTTTTAGGAAGCTTGATTTTCTTAAGATCTTCTTCTGCACCTGGATTTACATGAACAACATGGCATCCAAGGGCCAAAAGAGTTCTATAAAAATAGAATCAATTTTAAAATGTAAATATAGGCATGCATTCTAAACATGCATCAGGAAATTGCATCCTACTTATTGGAATAAGGGTAAACATTGTTGCAAGGGAGCATTTAGATTAGAAATTTTAGTTTGCATGCAATACAGTGGTGAGTTCTGGATCCAGTTCCAACCAGTACAGTTGCAACAGGCCTGGTGGCGTCCATATGGACGCGCGCAGCGTGCGTATGTGTCTTAGCACCTCCGCAAACTCCGTGATGCTCTAGCTGCTCAGCGGAGCATCATGCAGGCGCTGTATGCGCCATGCGCATTCACGGAAGCCCCGAAGACTTAAAAGACTGGTAAGGAGTTCGGGCAGGCGGGCGGGCCCTCCGGAGCACCGTACCGGAACACTATCTGGTGCTCCGGGCAGGCTCCAGTACGCCCGTACCAATGCGTACCGCTTGTAACCCACCACTGATGCAATAGTATTAACATGTTTGGGATGCCAAAAACCTTTCCATACTGTTAGCAAAGTATGCTGCACGTAGTATGAATACAGCTAAGGCTAGTAATTTATCCTGTGCCTTCTCTACCTTATTAAAAAGAATTATGACAAACTCTTTTCAATCAAGTTATAATGGATAATAGAGGTCAACATTATTGATGATGACCACAGAATATGGAAGATTATAATTTTGAATATGAGGAGTACATGTTTAAGATCATGAAATTATAATGGGAATAAAAGAAGAGATAGATATGCTATCTCTCTGGAAAACTAGCAAGAAGAAGAATGTAATATATCTGAAGGAAAATGACATGATTTTTGGAGTTGATGAATACTTGCATGGAAGTGAATAGGCAGGTTTAAGATCAGAAAAGGTAAAAAACTAAGAAAAATGAAATTTACCATTTCAAAAATTAAGAAAGAAATCAATTGTTCTCTTGAATAATGCTAATGGGGAATAAATGTATTGAATATTTGTTAGGGTTCCTTCAAGTTGGGGTCAATTTGATGGACATTCCATAATTTCATGGACACGTCCATGCTGTGCTCTGAAAACAGTACCAGAGAAGTTCACCACAGTACTTTTCCAGGATACTTTCAACTTTCCTGCCTAGCCTACAGCCCTTGGTAGTCTCTTGTATAAAAAATGAATAATTGAGTCCCTGCCATATCAAATAAATCTTCCTCCACTATTACCTTGTACACAGGTGCCCTTCTGGTCCATTTCTTAAGTGCAATTTCCAGACCCTTTATGATAAATTCAGATCAGCTTACATCAGAAAGATGAATTTGTCAGGACTAACAAATTGCTATCAATGGCTAAGTCTGGAGCCAGCCCATAAGAAGTAACTAAACAGTATGCTTTCTTATGGAATTAAATCTTACAAAATAAAATCCTGTTGCTTCTTGAAAAAGCACCTTTGGGACAACCATGACCTGGATGACTGAGAATATCCATAGATCTTAAAGAATAGTTTTCCTTCTGTTTTGTGACTCACTTTAGAGTTTCTGTTGACATTTGCAGATTATAGTTCTTCTCTGTTTCAGGCAATTTTGAAAATTCCACCAGACATGGATGCTGCCTTTTATTATCATCTCGTATCTACAACATATGAAAGAGACTGTAAGTAACCTTAGAGCAACTTCTGCTCAAAAAAAAAATAGACCCTTTTTTCTGCAAATAAGCCATAGTCATTCATCAGAATTTTAAAGCAGAACAGCTTTCTTCAATCAGGTGTCTCTAAAACAGGATTATTATCCCATCATGTAGCATGGCCACTGGAAAACTCATCTAGATATTTATTCTACAAGCTATGGATAAATGTCCCATGTGTTGGAGTAAATTGTGGGATTCTGACCTACATTGCCCAGCTGTTGTTCAAAAAGTGATGTGTAGTTGGATAATACTAGGTTAAATTTTACCTGCCGCATGAAATTATAGTTGAGCGTTCTTACCATAGAAATTTTATGACTTATTGTATAGTCTAGATATAACTGATATTTTGTAGAACTAAACCTTTATTCCTCATAATATTTTGCATTTCTTTTGACTTATAAAAACTTATAAAGCAACTTTAAAGCAATTGGCTAAGTATGAACCTTGGAAATCCTGGGAAGGAGCAGCAATAAAATGGACACTTCACAGGAGAAAATATTTATTTATTATTTATTTACTTACTTACTTAGCTATTTATTTATTTATTTCTGTTTTGCTCTCGGCAGATGACATTGGCTCAGCAATAACTAGGCAGAAATGTCTATAAGGGATGGTGATTTGTTAAAGATGGATATAGTCACTCCAAACCCTATTTGGAGTGATGAAAATGAGAGAGGCGGGATTGAAAATTGAAAAACAATATTAGCATGCATTAGGAAAAGATCATGGAGAAAAATTTTCTGTGTGTTCATTAGGAGTTGAAAATGACTTGATGGCACTTAATCAAATCAGGAAAAGAAGGCCACAACAACAACAAGACCAAAATTTTGCCCAATTCATGGAAGGAGAAGAATTTGTGTGACCTCGGCAAAAGTTTTGGTTCTGAAATTTCTTATCAGGCATCTAGGTTGCCAAGTAAACCTCTATTTATGGCTGTAACAATCCATAAACCATAAACTGAACTTATTTATTATCCTGTCATTGTGGGTATTTTTCCTCCCCGAATGTTTCAGCTATTAAAGCTCCAACTTTTTGTTTTGTAAAATATTCCTCAGGACTGCCAATAAGTAAATGTGAGACTGCAAATCAGTAAATGTCATCTTGGAATGGAGATTATAGGTTTGCTTTAACTAAAAGCACGCAGCAGGGAAAATAAAAATGGTGTGAATTTTCTCTGCCTCCAGAGAAGACACAATATGCTTTTACTTTGAGCTAAGCTCATGGAGAATGCATCAATTCAGTTTTCATGTCGGTCTTATGCCATTCGCCTGATGTTTTCATTTTCCAAAACCTAGTCCATAATTCTGGAATTATTGTCTCCCATGTAGGACTATTGTCCCTACTGAATATAACTCCGGGATTGGGCGGCCTATAAATCTACTAAATAAATAAATAAATAAAATAAATAACTCATGTGGTTCCAGAGTGACCTCCCAAAAACTCTATGCAGACCTTGAAAACTGCACTTATGGCCTATCTGGAAGTTACAGACTTTTGTTATGGTCTAACAATAAATTATGGTCTCATACTTCAATTATTGGTATTACTATGTGATGAAGTAAAATATCTGCATGACCACAATTTTCCTTTAGTTATTTACTACTACTTATTCTCCAGATCTGGTGAAGGAGGCTCTAGAGCTGAGTACAAAGAAATCAGAATTGTCCTGTTTCAGAGAAAATCTATTATTTTTATTTTCTCTAAGCTGAATTCCTTTTTATATAACACCTTAGTTTTGTATTTGGGAAAGGAAGAAGAATAAAGTTTTTCACCCATGACAAAATTCTGTTTTCAATTTTGTAATTAGAAAGCAACCTTCACTATTATTGTGTCCAGAGTATATCTGTTTTCTGTAATTGAATAAAGCTATGCAATGGGTGATTTTCTCATAAAGAATTCTTCATAATTATACCTTGCCATAGGTCCAACCAAGTTCTATTTTATTCATTCCCCAGAGTTCATGAATATTTTCAGCCAGCTTGTCTCTAATCTTTTCAAGATGAAAAGGCAAAACAATCTATGAAGAAAATATGTAAATTTTTATCAAGATAAAATTTTGCAGCAATATCCTCCATATTTTCCAATGAATGATCACACAACATAATAAAATCTAAACGTGGTTTATTACTAAATAAAAATATCCTGATAAATAAAATGTTCGGTCATTATATGTGTCATTATATTTTAATTAAACTTACCTGGTGGGTATCAATTGGACAAGGAATAAAATTAGCCTGGGAAGGAAACTGAGTAGTACCAAGCAAATCTCTAACGCCTTCAGAATCTCTCTTATATTCTTTTACTGGTTCCAATTTCATTTTTTCTTTTGGGAGCAAAGCTTCATAACAAGGGGCATAGCTGGTAGGAGGTAAAAACTTGAACTCTCCATGACGGCCACCCATTAAGAAACGCACTCTAAAGAAATGGAAATACAAAAAAAGGGTAATAATATTTAAGGGAGGGTATTTTTAAAAAAAAATGGTCATCATAGGCCATGAATCCAGTAATTCAATATAAAAATTGCCTCTTAAAAACTCATTTGCAAGTCATTTAATTATAGAAAATAAGTGAAAAGGTACACTTTATTATTTTATATTTCTTTTTTAATTTCCTTTACTTGGAACAGTTTACACCCTGCAACAACATTTTAACATCTGGAAAATGTTGTCAAAGCACAGATTTTCTAAGTTTTTTTTCTAAGTTATTCTAAATAATTTTCTAAGTTGTTATTATTGCGGTTGGCTGCACAGTGAGCCAGAAATTTATACTGGACTGATAACCTGGCGTTGTCCGGGTATTTAGTTATAGAGGGAAAATGTCCAGACCAAACATAATTTCTAATGTTGGACTTTCGCCTTTACCAGAGGGAGCTCCCTTGTGAAGTACTGTTACCATGGCAACTCCACTGCTCCGTACAGTAAAAGCCATTTTAAGGTACAACAGGCTGTATCTTAACAGAAGACACACCCTGAAGGGTGTTAGGGTTGTCTTACCCTCACATTATTTGTTTTCAGAGTAAGTCATCTGTGTACCAAGTTCAGTTGAAATTGCTTGAGATGTCCCAAAGTTATACACACACACACACACACACACACACACACACACACACACACACACACGACATTTTTATCCATCTTTGAGTCTTTTCTAATGACCTGAGATTTACAGATGTTGTTTAATGGTATTAAAGATATTGTTGCAGAATGTAAGCTGCTTGAAGTAAAGCTATATTTTGCAATTGATTGATGGTGATTTTGTCAATCACAGTGGTGTCCAAGGGATGCTCCAGATGTTTTGAATTGCACCCAATGTACTTATTAGCATTGATACTGTCTTTGCTTCTTTTGCCACAGTCCTTCTACTTCACAGTTCCTTATATTTCATGATTTTCTACAGCTGTTTCTCTTCTGGCACTACAGCCATACTTGCCTGATGCAATCTCAATCTTTTCATCGTATTCTAACCTTATCCTTCCCAACACTTGGGAGAATAACTTGCTTTATTGTAACCTGAAACTCAGCTTGTGGCTAAAATAACTTGTGTACATAACTTTTTAAGTTTGCCTTCATAGCATAAGTACTGCTGTCACAATCAATATGAAGTGTGAGGGTAAGGTAAGAAGTTGTTGCTAAGATGAAGACACACAGATAATCAGGAAAAACAAAAGCTGTAAATGTTGAAGGCTTTGGTAATGTTGAAGGTTTGGGTATTTCCATGGAATCTCATCAACTTAGGGTAAGTGAGAATTGACATAGGTCAAGGCAGCATTTAGAGCCTCATTGGACCAGGCAGGCTAGAAGGAGCGGACCAGGCATTTTGGGAATGCCCAGATACTAGCTTAACCAGATAGGAGTCAAGAAAAACTATTCAGGAGAATTCTATTTATTTGTATGGATTCCTGGAGGGATAGAAATGTGTGTTCCACCAAAGCAGAGTTGCTGACATTATCAGATTAGAAAATCTTCCTCTTTGGCTTTCAAATATTGTTTTCAAATGGGGTTCATCATGAAGTCTTCATCTTATTAAGACCATGATTTTTGACTGCCCAATAGTTTTTTTTTGACAAACCTTCACTACATTTTCAGACATTCTCATTGTCTGTCAAGGCTGATAACCTGAATAGAGATAAGGTAGATTAGGATTTTTCTGCTTTGTATTTAAATATTCAATATGTTTCACCCATGATGAATTTAACCTAAAATATGATCTCAAGAATCATCCTCTGCATCCAAGCCCACAAAGAAGTTTATTAACACATGGACCCCCTTCTCAGAATTTCATTCCACAGGTTTGCTAAAGTATACTGAGGTCTGGAACAGCTTATATGAAACAATAGAACAGTGATGGCTAACCTTTTCTGGACTGAGTGCCCAAAGTGTATGTGCAAACCCACAAATGCGCACAAGCCCAAACCCCCAAGTACAATACCTGTGCAGCCCTGTGCATGCACCCCAACCCCATGCATGTGTGTCCCGCCCCTTGCATGCACCCCCATGTATGCATGTGCATCTCCCTGCATTCCCCACACATGTGTGTGTTTCCCTTGAACACGCCCCACTCCCGTGCATGCATGACAGAGACCCAAAGACCAGCTGGCCAGCGGGAGGTGCATGCGCAGTAGAACTGAACTGGGGTGATGGCTTGCGTGGCATCAGAGAGGGTGCTGTGTGCCACCTCTGGCATGTGTGCCATAGATTCACCATGACGGTGATAGAATTAATTATTATGTTATGTGCCCCACATTCTTTGTAAAAGTAATAGTGTATATTGAACAAAAGTTAAAATATGTGGGGTATTTCTTGGATTAAAGAAAGTAAAGACTTTAGTAACACTAAAATATACAGGAGAATTAGATACTTAGAAAATTATGTTGTTGTTTCTGATACGGTAACCTTTTAAAGAATATTATTTATAATGAGATTTCTAGAAAATTAAAATATATTATGATTTCCATAATAAACTTCCTTATTATGTTATTCATTCACAATGTAAAATATGTAAAATAAGTATATATTGAAACTAATATTATCTTGCAAACTCTGAGTTCACTAGAGAAGCACAAGACTACAAAGCACAATTATGCAAATATTTATAATAACGTTTAACAAAAGTATCTGTTTACTACCAGAAATGACACAAATGATCAGAACACTCACTTCAACGCATCTTATTAGGCTTGTTTGCTAACTGCCTGAACAGATGTGAGGACATTGCTAGAGGATATTTCATGTCAAATATTTTTTTTCCTGCAACAGTATTTTTGAGTCTTAGATAGAGGAGTCCTCCAGCATCACTATTTAACACACCACCTGTTCAATTATAAAAGACAGAAGGCATTTATCTCTGAGATGTTGACTTTTCATGTCAACACATCTAGACTGTTATATTTTCTTTCAGCACGTGAGATTGATGTATCTGCTAGATTCTTTCACTTTATTTTTCAGCACACAGTGCATTTATCTACCTAAGCTTAAATGCTTTTCCAGAAACACAAAACCTATACCTTCCCGAAATCACTGTAATTTTTATGTATGGTAAACAAAATATATAGATCAAAAGAAAGCAAAATGCCACTGAAAAACCCAATTAATGGCTGAATAGCAAAGGGGGCGCCTTAAGATTCTCTGGAGATATTTTCCAAATCTTTTTAGTATTCTGCCAATCTCCAACATGGAGTCACATTTTATCTGCCATAGTTAAGCAGATATTTACAAGTTTAAGTTCTAATTTAATTAACATATAATTTCTATTAATTTCAGTCACATAATTGCAAACCTATTTGCAATTTCTGCTGAAACTGTGAAATCATACATCAAAGGCCTGTTTCTAAGTTTAAGCTATGATTGGGTTTATTTTACTCAGATTATTATTATTAGCAAAATCAATAATAAAAGATTCTATGGCATGTTGATGATAAAAACATTTATTAAGCCATATATTTTATATAATATAACATCAGATGCATCAACATATAAGCTACAGAAGCTTATACACTAATAAAGATATTAATCTTTAAGGTGTCATTTTGCTGTAGCTTGGACAAAGCAACAACTATTTCTCTGGAGAGCATAATAATATTCTTCCAGTAAAGGTTTTAGGAATGCACTCTTCATGTTGGAAGTCAATTGCTTAAAATAATTCCTTAGTGAATATTCTTACCAGAGTAAATCTGATTTCAGAAATAATACTTGAAATTTCGACATGGAAATTATTTCAGACAAATTACATTTTGTTGAGAAATAAGGTAAGTATCCACTAGGTTTAGTAACACAGAAATAAACTTTCCTCAAGAATATTTCTATTACAGAAAGTCATTGGCAGTCTATAGAAACATTTAACCACCCTGCAGGTAAATGGGATATTTGCTATCTAAATATATTAGGTGTCGGAATAGACATTAAATACCTAGGTTTTAGGATTGGGCAATGATCTATATTTAAAGAGAAAAAGAAAATTGGTTTCAGGATACACATATTACAACTATTACCAAACTAAGGAAGTGTTTTATGGGATTCTGTGACTGCTGTCATGCAATCCCAGGGAAAGGACAATATCCTACCTTTTGCCAACAAATGTGATATGAACATTATCCCAAAAGTGCTTTTTCAAAAGGGAACTGGACTTTGCACACCAAATCACCTTTTCCCCTTTGAATCCAGTTTGTCCTGAGCCTTATTCCTTCTCCAAACATTTCCTTTGGAACTCAGTTTTTTTCTAAGGAGCAAAAAGTCTATTGTTTGCATTCTCTATCCAATGATGTAATAAACATGAATGGTGAGAAACCATGAGATGGAGTAAAAAAAATGTGCCTTAGACTACATGGCTACCTTTTTTAAGAAGCCGCCTAGTTTGAAGAGAATAACAATAGCACTTAGATTTATATACTACTTACAGTCTTCTCTAATCAATTTATAGAGTCAGCATATTTCCCCCCAAAATCTGGCATATCTAAGAGGCATTTTCTGGGCTGAGCAGGTCACCAAAGTTTACTTTTGTTAAAGTAAACTGTCTGTAAAATTACCAAAAATGCTTGAAACTCCATTTTGTAAAACTGGCCATTGTATGTTAGTGTACAGGCCACAGGAAGCTATATTGGGATGTGTAAAGGATGGGAAATATTTTTAAAATGGAACCTCACCATTTGATGCTCTAAACTCCAGACTGGCAAGTTTCAGGAAAAAAAATAGGATTGGGGAACTTTAGCTCACCAACCCTTATCAAAGTACAACTCTTAGTTTCCCTCACTGTTGGGTATATTAGTGGAGCTGCCATCCAGCAATATCTGGAAAACTATAGATTGTCTCATGTCACCATAAAGAATGTCTAGAAGCTGAATATAGCATGAAATCTACATATGAATTGCTGTCTGTCTGTCTGTCTGTCTGTCTGTCTGTCTGTCTGTGTTCCAGTGTAACTCTGGAATGCCTCAAGCAATTTCAACCAAACTTGGTACAGAGATGATTTACTTTCTGGAAACAAATACTGTGGGGGTAAGGCACCCCTAATACCCCTTGTGGGGGTGTATGTCTGTGTGTGTGTGTGTGTGTGTGTGTGTGTGTGTNAAGAAAGAAAGAAAGAAAGAAAGAAAGAAAGAAAGAAAGAAAGAAAGAAAGAAAGAAAGAAAGAAAGAAAGAAAGAAGGAAAGATAAAAATCAACAAAAATATATAGGATATATTCACATTCGGTAGGAAGATTTCTGTGAATGGTAACCATATTGCACAGTCTGGGCATAAATTGTTAATGGCATCAACTTTGAAGATTACAAAGTATACTTATGATACTTATGATTTAAATGTCTTCATCACAGTATGATGAATAGATATATAAAAAGTAATAAGGCAGCAAATTGTCTTCCAAGATTTTAGCAGGATTAACTTCAACTGACTCTTTACAGGAAGAAGTACTGGATCTATTTTCTGATGCACTGATATTACTCTTATAAGTCTTCACCCCTATTAATCAGCAGATTATTTACATATTCATCATAATCAACCATTTCCCCTGGAAATCAACCTAGCTGTAATTAACCTAAACCTCCTTCACATCAATCTCTAATAAAACATTTTGATAAATAAGTCAGTATCTGCAATATAGTGATGAAAACTCCAGTCCTAATTGCTGTCCTGATGACTATTTGAATTATGTTATTGTTTTTTTAAATGCTTAATTATACTTTCACATATCAAATAGAATGCAAGCCTATTTGTATTTAACTACTTTTTCATAATAGCACCTCACATCCCCCTTTCCCATCTATTGATTCTTTGGTTTTTTGAGGTTTCTTATCAGTACCGGTTGGAAACATTATTTGGAACCATGACAAGCAATTTAATTGTTATAAATTGTATTTATTAATTTTATTAATTAATTTTATTAATTTTAGATTAAATTATGGTTAAGTACTTGATTTACATTAGCAATTGTCAGCCTACAAAGTAGACCAGGCTAAAAAAAAAACAATGTTATACAGATCTAGATCTACTTTTACTATAACAGAATCTTGCATGTATGAATGTGCTTCCCCCATCCTTAATTTTACATTAATGTAAACTCTGAAGAGACCTGTCTGAGGAATTTTCTCAAAATAGTTGCTTGGAATGAGATCAACCTGTGCTTGCCTTATAGTTTCCTTGTTAGTGGCTCTCTCTCCTGCCCTTCAAGATGTCTCTATATCTACTACAGAAACTAACCCATCATGCTTTCGTATTGGTTGATTCTGGCAGAATTTAGGTACAGAAACATTTCTACATAAAGAATACTGGTAAGACTTCATGACATCATCAACTCATACCCCATCGATGATTTCAGAATAATGGAGATCGAAGAAGGAAAAGGAGAACAACTGTAAAGATTTTGACAATTACTTTCACAAATGAAAGGCAACCTAAATTCTTTTTCTTGCAACAGTGAATAGGGAAGGTGGCAGAGGTGGGTTCCTACTGGTTTGGCTCGGTTCAGCTGAATCGGTAGTGATATGCCAGCCTGGGTCACAGAACAGGCAGTGACTCAGGATGGTAACACCCCCAAACCGGTTCCCCTGTCGCTGTCGCCTTTTTTTGGAGTTCTGCACATGCACAGAACAATTTTCATTGAATTGGACATGTGCACGCAGCACGCGCATAAGCAAACTAGCAGTAATGCCGGCTAGAACCCACCTCTGGAAGGTTGGGGTAGGCAACTTATTTTGTACTGAATTATGGTATTTGCATGACTTGTCCTTCTATGAGAGGACACTTTAACTTAAAACAAATTTTGCCTACTGGAGGTTAAAACTTTAGCAATAGCAATAGCAATAGCAGTTAGACTTATATACCGCTTCATAGGGCTTTCAGCCCTCTCTAAGCGGTTTACAGAGTCAGCATATCACCCCCACAGTCTGGGTCCTCATTTCACCCACCTCGGAAGGATGGAAGGTTGAGTCAACCTTGAGCCGGTGAGATTAGAACCGCTGAACTGCAGATAACAGTCAGCTGAAGTGGCCTGCAGTACTGCACCCTAACCACTGAGCCACCTTGGCTCTCTTTATATGCTTCATCCCACAATGGACTGGATTTATTATGAATGTGTAATCGTGCTCATGACCTAAAACTCTATGAACTGACCTGTGCTGTATAAACCCAGCCAATTATAATTAAATGTACTAACTTTGGAGCCTTCGAATACAAATGCTTGGTCATCAGCTCCTAGTTCTATGTCAGGTTGGCAGCCTGGCCTTGCCCATCCAACGCGCATGTCCCCTCCAGTTACAGCTTCAAATTCAAAATACCACTTTCCAGTCTTAACTGCATAAGATTTCTCCACTCTGAAGAAACGTATCTTATCAATGCTCACTTTTTCCACTGTTTGATCAGCTGTGAAAAATAGAATGGAAAGAGTTATAACTGGACTTATCAGAAAGGGCATTTAGGGCCCTCAAAAATGATGAGACCTGCAACATTGTGATTAAACTCTCATCTTGACATTTTTGAACCCCAGTCCAAATGCTCTTACACACCAGGTTTTTGTACTCAGACAAAAATTGTTGAAGCAGCCAGAGAATAATTACTTATTTATATTATAAGTAATTATATTTGGTATGGCAATTATCTAAACATATATGACACAGAAGCAAGAATGTGCGCATTGTAGAAATTAAAATTCAAGTGAGGGTGTTTTAATATGCAAGTACATCTGCTCCTCTGAGAGAAGGAACATTTTTCAGAAAAGCAAAGCTTTTTCCCTTTAGCTATTCTTTCTTGAATTATGATACATAGCCTCTCCGCTTTCTTTTTTCTTCTCATTGTCTTTCCTTCTCAAAGTAAAACAAACAAACAAATAAAGAAAGCAATCTATATTGGGAAAGGAAGATATGATAACACACAGTGAATAAGTCAAGAGAGGGTGTGAAATTGCAAACTTTCATTAACCCCAGTAGGGAAAAATGCTGCTTTCCTTCTATGTGAAAATTATTTTCTCAATTTGGCTTGGGGAAAAGAAGACTACAGCAACCACCAAAGATTTTTTTTCTTTTTCTTATGACCCAAGTGTACCCGTCATTCACTGAGTGCTAACAGGAAGTTTAAAAGACGTCAATTTGGGTAAATAAATTATTCTACTCATACACTCAAACATCAACATACTGAAAAATCCTATAGAGTATTCTTGAAAAACAGAAAAACATATTACAAATACACTTTGGTGCTTCCAAAAATGCTAATAACAAAATATCCATTAACATACCTATTTCCTGGTCTGGGGGCTCAATATTATATCCATATCCAGCAAAGGTCCGAACAGCTTCACGAAGACTATCCCTGTTTGATTTTTTAGTGCGTTCATCCAATAACACATAAGGAACCAGCCGAGGATTCCGTTTGTTTTTAAGATCCTAAAAAGAATAGGTGCAACAATATAGCTCTTTACAGCCCTCTCTAAGTGGTTTACAAAGTCGGCATATTGCCCCCAACAATTTGGGTCCTCATTTTATCCACCTTGGAAGGATGAAGGCTGGGTCAACCTTGAGCCTGGTGAGATTTGAACTGCCAATTTGCAGACAGCCGGCAGTCAGCAGAACTGCAGTATTGAACTCTAACCACTGCGCCACCACGGCTCAATATAGTGTTCAAGTTATACAGAGCAATTTAGAACAGAAAAAGGAAATCTGTATTGCTCTGGGAATCTACCAATGACATTTATTCTTGAACTAACTTCTTGGATGAAAGACTATATCTTTCCTGTTTGTTTATATCTTTCCTGTTTGTCATATTTCCTGAAAAGACTACATTGTTGGTTGAAAGCAGAAGTCCCTTCTGTTACCTGTAGTCCTCAGCTTACAGCCACAATTGAGTCCAATATTGTTTTATTTCTTTTGCAGTTAGTATTATTTATTTT